AATCACTAGAAAGGGATTCTCATATTTTAATGAATGTGAGCAGCTTCCGGTACTTTTCCGTTTCGCCAGCGCAAATCTCGCCAAGCAGACTTTATTGGCGACAACATACAGTATACACATAAAAAATTTTAGTTCTAAGAATTTTTTTTTGAAGGCATAAACATTTTAATATCGCTTAAAACTTTATAAAAAGCCAATAAATAAAGACAATAAATTTGTAAAAAGACATTAATTTAAGAATTTACTATGCTTTCATGGTTCAACATCCTAATTCGCCGGTTCATATCACGTGACCCCAAGCGATCTCATCTCACGTAAACTACTCTACAAAAATCTAATGCTCTCAGTAATTATCTACATTAATTTCAAGTTAAATCTTAATTTGGAACACAAGTTTAAATGCAAGAAATATTTCAATTCGTACGAATAGCTTACTTCAGAAATTATGTAAAACTGCAGTGCTTTACTTCGCTAATGTATTCTCATTAGAATTGATGAATTTAACCCTTGACTTTACCTTTTCTATATTTTCGGCTTCGGGTAAGCGCTGTGATTGCATCCTAATTGACTTAATTACCGAAAATGGGCTTTAGACAAAAACTGAACTTCTATCTGATAAAAATTCTATGTAATTATATGCCAGTATTGAAAGAAACAATCAATCTGATAAGAAAAACCTGCGACTTGTTTTGAAAATGAGGCGTGAAAGGTTACCAGCGAGAATATTCCGTTTGGCATCGGTTGTACCATTATTGGCGACTTTATCGCTTGCGCCGGCAAAACGGAAAAGTACTCAGTTTCCTTTCCAGTAGTGTCTTGATGAGGCCAGTTTGATCCATATTTCATTAATAGTGTCTCTTAATTGAATCTGAAATAAATTTTAAGTTTAATAGTTTTCTTTTCAAATATCTGTGAGGTAAAAAGTAAGCATTAGCAAGCAAATTGTATTTTCCATTTGCAAATGACAAGAAATAATTTTGGATATAAATTTTAGCTGCATAGTCGAATATTAATATTGATAATAATAATCTACCTATCTATCTATATAATATGGTGCCCTAATATGTAGTTTTATGGTTTGTATATACTGACTTCATGAACACTGGCTTTCAAAAGTTAAGTACACCAAGGCAGAATCAACAAAAATGGAAAAGTAATGCTTTGGTCAATATCAGATCGCACAAGAAGGTAGCAAATGTATTTATGCATGAAAGAAATTAAGCATTGTAGGCAAATATGAAAATAATGTTTACTATTCGTAAACAATTCAATAACATCATATTTGGGTCATTAACAAATTGATGTTTAAAACTAAAAACAACAAAAACGTACATTAATAAAGTATATGACCACGATGGACTTTTATATAAACTTTATGGTATTTTTCTATGCTTTCAGTGAAGTGATTAACCATCGCAGATGCTTGCAGTGGGCATTCCTCCATTAGGGCAGTTTCTACCCGTCTAAGACTGGCTGGAGGAAGTAAATATGCAGAGAGCATGGTCAGTGGCATCCCAAAGGTTTTCATTGTGTCAGAGGAATACAGCAAGAACTCCATGCAAGAAATGTCTTCACTCTTCATAATGTTGGCTTGATGGCGATGGGCATTATCATCTATAGGTATGAAATAAGGAGCAACTGCTGCTGCTTAGTCTCACATTGGCGTGTAAAATTTCACCCCAATACCATTATGCCATCACACAACCGTCTTTAAAGATGGTATGATATCCCACTAAAAATTCTGAAATTCTAACCCATACTCGGATACTGCCACTTCTGAATGTGTGATATTCTGAACCTGATTATATGTGCTTAATTCTCTCCAGATCCTTAAAGGCTCTTCACACTAAGGTTTATCAGGAGTCATGGAGACATCTGGCATAACTAATGCTGCTCTACGCTGTTAAAAAAAAAAAAAAAAAAAAAAAAAGTTTTTCTTCAGTTGAAAAATCTGAACTTCAAGGTTAGTGGAGCTAGTTGATAAATGGAACTAACTCTTTTAGCTCAGATAAACTCCCATGCGGATGCCTCTTAATACACTTTTGTAAGGGTCTGGAGCAAACATCTATCCCAGAACAAATGTGGAATCGTCCATCCATTGTGCCAGTCTGAGAGCGCCCATTTGAGATGCTGATGACACCACCTGTAATCTCGTTTTTTTGGATTAGGTGGTAAGTGGAACACAAACACTGGGTATACAGGCCTACAGTCTCATTTTATGAAATCTTCAGTGTACATACTGTCAGATATTGTTTTACCAAGTGACACTGAAATTATGGATGTAACAGTTATGGAGGTTGCTTGTTGACTCCACTTGGCTAATATAGCAATATACTGATCTTCAGAAGGGATGGTAACGTTTGGTCAACCAGTTACAGGTCTCTTGGACAACTGTTTAATTTGTTTGGAATTGTGTCCACCTTCAAGAAATTACCGAATGATCAACACCAAAGAAAAGAGTAACATCTTTGATTGACTGTCCTGCTTCATTGCATTTGATAGCACACCAACATTCACTGTCTGCACTTTGTTTTTTAGATATAGAAAATGAATATCATCAAAAATTATCGTATGAGAGTAGTAAATACTTTGTATCAGATTTAAATATGAGCTTCTCAAACCTTTCAGAATGCTGGTGTGTTCAATAACTGCCTAGCTAGCTTATATTCAGTCTCTCAATTTGTTTGGCTGTAACATAGGATACTGCATACTGCTATTTACATCTGCAGCGATTTTAAGCCATTTAAATTCAACTACATTTTCAAAAACTGCTAATTTGCACAACATGCTTAACTTCTGGAAGCCAGTGTTATAATGATGGTGTAAAGTCTTGTATGGTGAAAGATTGTAAGAAATTTTGTGTCTTAATTAAAATACAGAATACTTATTGTTCAAGTGGATAGAGTGACTAAATGTTAGTAGTTTCATCTTGTTCTGTTCATAATAGAAGATGATACTGTGGGATATTTTCATAATTTTATCTACATGTAATTCAAATGTAAAACAGGTCTTCTTTTGCAAAAGTGATCTATCCAACATTGAGAACCCCATGACCTTTATTAAAAAGCTAGCTATTTTTTTTTTCTTTTCAATTTAGCAACTAATTACACGTTGGAAGAGAAAAATTCTGATCATATCAACTCAGAGCATACTGTTACTAATACATGGAATATTACATGAGAAATAAGATAACTATATCATTGTATGCTTTTGAAAATAAGAGCTAGCTTTTTAGACATGGCCTTGCTTTTAAACATTTTATTGATGCTATTGTTTTAAAAATATATTAAAAGATGAGAAAACAACTAGTTTATATTGTTTATTTTATTTTCATACTGAGAAAAATACTAAACATCAAACTGAAAATTGATTTGTGTCGTAACAAAGACAAAAATTAAGGAAGATTCGGACATCAAAGAATCTTCACAATTTATTTGTGTCAGTGTTTTCGGTATTAGGAAATTTTTGATGCCCCAAACACAGCTGGTCTCTGGTAAGAGACTTTAACTATTATACATATAATAATCTACATATAATTTTAAACAAAAGCACCATTGATACGAAAAACTGATCTTTTTTCATTCACATGAAAAACATTTTATTGACTTTGTCAGAAATATAAAAAAAGTCTTCTACAAAAACCGTGATTGGAAACTGAAATTTTTATAGAAAACACTTTCTTAGAAAGGTATATGTGACTATATAACATTCGAAGGCTCTCAGAACACACTTTCAGGCTTCTTTGTGACATCTGATTTGAATGAAAATAAACAGAAAATATCTCTATATAAACATAATTTCTTAAGGATAAAAGAATAAGCAATTACTTCAGAATAATGCTATATATTATCAGTATAAATGTTCTTTTTACATAATCTGTGATCTAAGGGCAGGATAAATATGCAATAAACATAGCTAACTAACATAACATCCAACTCTGAGTTTCAAAATTTCTTTTATATAGATAAAAGTATCTTTAAGTTCATCTAGGTTTTCCAAAAGTTTGAAACTAAACACCCTCTAGTGTAGCACCATAACACAACATTCACAATTGAGCTTCAGAAGAATCAAGCAAAGTACATTCATTGACCAATAGAAGTATTGGCACTGTTACTCTAAAAGTGCAGGAATTTGTAAAGCATAAAGTGAGTTTTGTGTGCACCATTTAGAGAAGCTATTATAAAATCTCTTTTATAAAAGGTATATTATATTTCTCACATTTTCCAACTATGCAAAAACTATTAGTATCTGTAATCAGTTCCCCCCTTGTAAATCATTAAAATGTACAGAAATTAAAGATATCTTTTGTTTGTTTTTGATATTTCATATTGTTATGAGAATGGCATTTGAATATGTAAACCTAAGACAAACATTATATAACAGCATTATTTAAAAATGTTTTATATTTTCCTATATATTATTAAAAATTTAAGATTTCTAATAGTGATATTTTTATACGAGTATAGAAATGGCATGATAGCAAAATATATAGAACTGGACAGCAGTGAGTTTTCATATGCAAACACAATTTAAATTCAATATGTGCCAGTTAATGACCTTTGTATGGCAGTATTTATACTGCAAATTGGAAGGGGGGGGAACTAACAGCTCATTGCACATCCAGTATTAAATGCTGTACAACTAACGAAATTTTAAATGTTAAATATAAATTTTATGAATTTTATATATAAATAATTGAATTAAAATGTGCAGAAATATTGATTTAATTGTTTACAGATTATATAACAATTGAGAACAAGATAACTTGAATAAACAAAAATGAATAAAATTACATGAAAATCATTTGTTTCCCATTTTACAAATTTAGCTTATATTAATATTGAATGTAATTATGAGCTTAGTATCAGTTATTTTCATAAGATTTTGATTAGAAAAAATTTAATAAATGTAAATATTTTCCTTATAAAAATAAAAAGGGTTATTATTTATTAATTCAATAAAATCATATTTTTGAAAGCACTTTTTTATTTATTTACAGAGGTTTTGTTATTTTCAATAGCCACTACTACATTAAAAGGAGCGGGGAAGCTGAAAACAGGATGTGACTAACTCCAAAAAGGTTTTGAATTGCTTAACATGTTGAATCTATAAGAAGAAAATTACAAGCACTTTATTTTTAGTTTAACAGAGTTATTTATGAGCAAGAATTATTTTTAGCAGTAAATATATTGATGATATTCACTTTTATTCTGTAATAAGAATTTATTGACTAAAATGAATGTAGTACTTATAAAGCATAATTTGCAAAATTTTAATATTAGATACATGTAAGTATGAATTTTACCAAACAATGAAAAATATTTTTATTGATCCACCTTAATTTAACATTTTCTTAGTAAATGTAAGTAAAATTTTAATTAAAAATAAAAATATCTTTGAATGGATATCTTAGACCTTATTTCAGAAATGGCATTTTTCATTTTTTTTATGAAACTAATTTGAGTGCTGAACTTGTGATTGCACAATAAAATAATTTTGGGCTAATATTCATTCCCCTCCTCCAAGATCAGATTGCATATGAAAAGGAATAAATTATTATTTATTAGGAAAAAAAATAAAGCCATGGGGAAAATAGATAAAAAAAGCAGTTTTTGTTGGAAAAAAACGTAACATGAAATCAAAGGGAATACAATTTTAGATTTTAAGAATATTCTATATTTCATCAAATATGAAAATAAAAATGCAGTAGAATTTTGTAATTTAATTTAATTACCTTTTAGGTCTGAAAATCAATAATGAAAAACTTTTGCACTAGAATTTTTGGTGTTTATATCCGTATGGTTTTTATTTAATTAATCAGAGTTCAAAATCAAAACTTTAATCTTCATGACTTTTCCATTCTTTGGATATTTAAGAAACATACAGGCACTCTGCTAAAAATATTTTCCTTCTATCTATATCTTTGATGGTTAAAAACTTGAATTCCACTAATTCCCAAATTTCTTAAAATTTATACTGTTTCACTTAGGTATAATAAAGAACATAGAAAAGAATGATTTACTAAGCAGGATTGAGAATGGTTTATTATTTATTTTAATTGATACAGTCTTCAAGGAGGGTGGGGGTAGAATCCTAGCAACAAACAGAAAATAAAGAAACTACCATTTAAAGTTTGTTACTATTTTTTTATTAATTGCATCAATAATTAGTAATTGATATTGTTTATGAAGCTTGCAGAATCATTTGTAAATGTAGTATGAAGGAGAAATTTTGTGTTGTGTATTAGTAGTCAGTGTTTCACTCTGTTAGAATAATATGGGAATACAATTCTTCTGTTTGCTTATATGTCATTTTTTAGCCAAAAATATATACATAAAAGAGAATTGCTCAGTAAATATTTACTACTGCAAAATATGAGCTCAAAACATTATAAGTAATGTGACTAAATGGTGTGGCCAAATTATAATTTTACAAAAAAAAAAAAAAAAAAAAAAAAAAAAAAAGCTCGTATAAAAATTTCATGATGAAGTTTTCTGATATAATTTTGATATACATTTATTAGCTGTTGCTCTTAGCATATGATTAAACATAAAAGTATAATATTTAGTAAAATAGTTGGAATAATTATCACATTATATGAATGTAATTTATCCTAAAATATTGAAACTATCCTCTATTTCCTTAATTAGATTTAAAAAAAGTTAATTATATGAATTACTTAGATCAGTGGTTCCCAATTTTTTGTCTATAAATGGCCCCTTGTAACAATATAAAATTTGTTACTGACAGTGCATATAAATTCCAATTAGAAAATAAAAATATTTGTTTCATTTTAGAATTAAAAACCAATGAAATGCCAATATACTTTTTTTTTTTTCCCCCTCCCACAAAATAAGACTGTATAAAACATGAATAGCAACACTACATGTAAAGAACAGACAAATCCTTTCATATTTCACACTATATACATGATATCCTTTCATAATACATATTATATACACATATTTAAAAAGATAAAAATAATAATACTTATATTAAAAAAGTTAAAACTGATTTATGTGACCACTGTGGCGAATACTTTTGCAAATTTTTTCCGTCAATAATACATGAAGATCACCTCTTTGCACAATATCAAACTGATATTAATTTTTGATAGTAAGAGAAATAAATACACAGCTAAAGCCAAATCCAGCTGTTATGATGTGAAACTAATATACAACTCTGTGTTATGCCAGAATAGTATGTGTTAAACATTTACTCATTTCTGAATAACATGCCAGTATAACATAAATAGTGCTGAATGACATTATTCTTCAAATAAACAATATATAATTTAATTACTTTGTTGATTATGACAAAGTAAATTGATGTGGCACTTTTAAATGTGTCTGTAGTTCCTCAATATACTTACTACAGTAATAACTCTTTATAATGATAATTCTATTACAAAGACCAGTACACAGCATTCCCAACTGAATATATTAATATCATTTTCGTTATAATAATCATTTATTATAATATTTCTTTTCTGTAGAACATAAGTCTCATTGTAATCAGCACTGACTATAGTTTATGTGGGTCTAAGGTATCAAGTATGTAGGGGGCCATATAATTTCCAACTGAGAATCACTGATTTAGAGAATTATTCTTGTTGGAAGAATTTTTTCATTCGAATCAAATGTTAAGGGAATCGGTTTTGTTTTCTTATGAAATGTTATTGGTTGATTCTCTGTATACAAATTTGATGCTTCTCTAAATTTAGTTACAAAAGAATTTTTAAGGAAAACATTTTCAGATCAATATCTTTAGAGATAACAAAATATCTGAAATATTTAATATTCATTTATATTTGACATTTTGAAAGGCAGGTTTCTTTTTCGTTGCAGTATGCAAACTTAAAACAATTAATTGGATTAATAAGAAAAAGCATTCAGCGCAAATAAAGAATTACATATTTAACCTGCTCTTGAAATTGCATAGTTACTGTCAGAATGATGAATTACTTAAATTGATATGAAACAGTTAAATAGAAATTTTTGTATAATGAGTATATCACCAATTTACATATTTGAATAATTATATGTTACTGAACTAGCAATCCTTTTATGATTTTAAAATAGTGTTTGTGCATATCTAATAAATTTTGATCACAGGCCTACTCAATATTACATACATATGTTTATAGAAATATATTAAAATTCAACATAGTATATTTATTCTCATCAATGTTTACAAGTATAACAGCAATAGAACAGAAAACGGAAAAAGAAAACACAACAACTGATCAACTTGTTTCACGGAAGTGAAATATTTTAAGAAAATAGTTAGCATAGATAGCAACATTTCAAACAATAAAAAGTAAGAAATAACATTTCGTATTATGTATATATGTATATTATATTGGCTACTGACAAGCTAAATGTTTTTTGATCAAAACACTTGGCAAAGTAACACAATGTGCGTCGTGAAAAGGGGAGAGAAGTTGAAACAAATTAACAAAGGCAATCTAACTGCGTACAGAGCACACAAATGAAAAGCCAAAAGTACAGTAACATGAACTATAAAAGTTTTATTTCCTACATATAACTGGAAAAACTTATGGACTTAATGTTTTCTCTTTTATCACAACAGGGAATGAAACAATTTCATCAAAAGAAGTCTGAAGGAATGCATAGAATATTTCCTTTTAGTTTTACAGTGAATAGAAACTTTGTGAGATTTCCTTTTCAATTCTTCAAAATTATCTTCTATTTCATTTAACTGTAATTTTATTTTAATTAAAACATTATTATAATTGTATAATTTGGATTGGTAAAAGTACAACAGATTTCCTTCTTGGTTCAACAATTTTAAAATCTGACAACATTCAAGGTTAAACTAGTGCTAATTTAGATTAGTGTTAGTGCACTTCAAAAGCATTTGGCATGGATATCTCATTTGTGCTTTTTTTTAAGAAAAGAACCAGTGTTGAATTCTCTTGAAACATATAGGTTATTATTATTTTAATATTAATGTCAATCTAAGATTGAATTTGTCTAATATTAAAATGTGTAATTTTTAATAATTACTTAAACACAGCTATGAATTTTAATAACCAGATCAAAAGAATTCAATGAAAATTAAACTACTTTGTTATGCCGAGTAAAAGAGAAAAATATTATGTTAAATATATGGGATTATGATAGTTAATTATTGGGCACAAATGTTAATTAATTTGCAAATGCAGTGTTCAGAAAAAATGTATTTAAATAAAATATTTTTTTAAACTTAATACTGACATTACTTTAGAAATACAATTCCTAATAGTTAAATTAATATACAGGACTATATTTTAAAAAATTCTAATTCTGTAAAGTCTAAAACAACTTGATTAACTTTAATTGTTCATTTGTAACCCATACTTTTTTCTATTTAGTTGATACTGTATAAAAATACAAGAACTTTAGGCTTATTTATATACATAAATAATATAATATAATTTTATGCATTTATTTTAAGAGTTATCTATCTGTATTTTTTGGAAGTTTTTGTTATTCTTAAATTTTATCTATATAATGTTCCTTAAAACAGTCTCTAAAATTTAAATTACAAAATATGTAGTGGCACTACTTTTAGATAAAAAAAGATATATCCTGAGAAAAACTGACTACTAAATTTTTCAAATGAAGTGGGGAACAGCCATACTTATTGATAGTTTGGAAAACATTATGAGGATGCTAGATCCTTCTTTGGCTATTAAGTTATTATGTCAAGTTAAAAAAGAAATTTTTTTTTAAGTCTCACATAACTTTATACAGAATTATATTTTAATTCATCAAATTTTAAATGCTTTTGTTATATAGCTATGTAAAATCTTAAAAAACACGACATATAAAATGTATCAGAAAAATAATAACTTCTACAATTAATTTATAATAATTTTTAATTATATGAATATATTAATTGAAACTTATTTATAATAAATTTTAATTGCATGAATATATTAATTGCAAGTTACTTAAACAGAATCAGTTTATTTTTTGCCAATTTAACCTTTTGAGTGGCATGGGTTTTTGGATTTGTTCTTGAAGACCTGTATTGAAACCACATTTAATTGCTAAATTTAGATAATTACTGATTTTACTGTCTGTTTTCTTAAACTTCCATTCATTCAGATGATATTTACATAATTAAAGAAGGTAAGAAATAAAAATATTTTGATTTATAAACTAGTATATATCAAGAGACAAAATATCTCATAACTGGACAGAGGTGGTCATGTCACTCAGGGGGTTAAAAACTTCTGAGTCACTTTCACAAATTAATGTATGGATATTTCAGTGTTTGTTCTTGCATGAGTTCAAGATTTTTATGATTTTTTAACTTTCAGTTGGTTCATGTACTATAAATATATCCATATATATGTATCACTAATATGCAAAATAAAGGGAAAAAATGTTTTTGTAGTGTATTCTAATGAAAACTTTTAAAGTACACGATTCAATCATATACAGAAAGTATTAATTTGAAGTTAATTTGGCAGCACTATATCCTACTTTTTAAAGCAACATGTTTCATTCGCACTGGAACAAAATTACTTTTTACAACCAATTTAATAAATCATAAAACTACCACTGTGCTTGCTACATCAGTAGATATATTAACAATGTGAGAAAGTTCTGGAAGACAGCTATTTCTTGATGCCTTAAGGACTTAGAAAGGTCTTACTTGAAATAAAATAGCACAATCATTTATAGCTATTATATATGATTATATATATATATATATATATATATATACACACACATTTGTATTCCAAGTTAAATTATGTATAAAATATTTGGTGTGTGGGGGAGTCTTGGTTTGTAATGGGTAGTGGAAGCATATATTTGCATCCATTAATATCATACATGCAAATAAATTTAGCATTGAAAAATACTTAGACAATACTCTTGAATCAGAGATTCAATATTACTTAGTTACTATCAAATTTAAACATTTAGTTTCTCTCAACTATTTTGAAACTGAATTTAACAACAGGAACAAAAAGTAATAAACATAACTTTATTTTTAAAGATTATGCATCTGTTTTACCTTTAAATGCTGCTCTGAACTCTGTGCATAGAAAATGTTTTCAAATATTCATACAAATGCAGATACTTGTGTGTGTATGTGCATATAGAAGGAAAGAAACAATGAAACTAGTACAAAAGAATTAAAGTATTCTAATAATAATGTTCTCAAGGCAATTAATGTTAAAGAACTTAGTATATAAATTAAATAATAAATTATATAAATCTAATAATGCTAATAAAAAATTTAAATATAATGATAGCTACTGCCAGTAAAAGGCCTATAGTAATAGAAAATTAGCTAATTTAACAAGTGTTAAAATTATTACATATGAGTGGAGGGACAACACAATAAGCTGATATATCTACATACTTTTACAATTTCTGCACTGCATGCTAGACTATTAATAATTAAATATTATAATATAATTATAAATATATGCATACAAACAGACAGACATACATATATTCTTTCTCAGAGTAATTTTTAGGTTTGCCATGGTTTCTTTCCAGCAATGCAAGATATTATGAAATTACAAATATTGTTGATATATTTTTACTGGTAATTTTTGCAATATAATAATAATATTATGAATTCTTTCTCATATTTTATATCAACATCACCTAGCAGATTTGGTTGAAAAGCAAAAATAATTTAGATTTATGATTGGGTGCTGATATGATGCAATATTGAAAATGTATGGAAGATATAATTTGAAACTACAATTTTTTCGTAAATTTTCCCCTCTATCACGGTGTTCTCAGAAGTACTATATGTAAAGAAAGGTAATAAGTAACAAATGTGCAAGAATTAGCTTAATTTTTTTTAAACGTAAGTTTTTTGTTTGAAATAGCATTTTGTTGTCCTAATTGCTGTAAACTTTTATATTTGTCATTATTAATTTTATTTCAATCATGGAAAAGGGAGAAGGAGAGATTTAAGCAATGAAAAGTTGAATAAATAACAGAAAGTGCAATAATTAACAACATAGGATAACAATCTGAAGTGATGTAAAACTTATTGTACAACAATTTATAGTGGTAATAAAAAGCAGTATACAAATTGCAGCAAATTAAAATTTATAATTTTAAAATATACTGGAATATAGTATTATTTTTAATTAAAATAATAATCATATTGGTATAAATATTAATACAGTGAACAATTTTTAAAATATAAAAGTTTATGACAACTTTCACGAAAATAAGCTGAAAGTTAAGTAGAAGAGTAAGAAGAGCTTCATTATTTTACATGATAGAAATTAGATTAATTAGTTAAAGACTGAGTCCAGGAAACTGTAGTATTAGATTCTTCTTTTATTATCCAAGTTTTCTATTCATCTATTAATATATATATATTACCATTCTTAGATTTTAATTTCAAGTAACTTTACAGTCAAATAAAACCTTACAACAATAATAACTAAGATGAATATGTATGGTTAAGTAACTACAGATATTTACTTAATATTCAATTTGCAGTATTCGATTATGTTTTCAAGTTTTATAATAGAAGTAATTTTGCTTTAAATTCTTCTCACAATGATTAATTTTGTGAATTTTATATCATACTGCTGTAATATATTTAGCAGAGTCAAGATGAGTATGGGGCAGTTTTGCTCTAGAACTGTTACGAGAAGTGAATAACAATTCACATACGTGAAGAGAGTTTATAAAGTCTCTATTTAAAATTCTCTTTTAAAATCTACATACTTGAAGTATTTTGTTGCTTCACTAGAAATGTAATAAAGCCTGGTATCCACACAATCAAAAATAGATACACAATATGCGAGCCATTTGACAATTTTCAGTGTGTTAGTACAAAGAAATAAATATGAAAAATAATTTAGTTGCATATCTATTCATTATTAAAGAAGTATTAAAAGGACTTTATACTTAAATATTTTTTCCCTGGTTTTCAATATTAATAACAGTAAAAATATACTTAAGTTTGATTTTATTTTTCTAAATAATAATAATGGAGAAAAATGACTTTATCATGCTGCCACTTTTGCAGTAACGCAATGAAACTGTTTTTTTTTTTTCGTTTATAACATTTCTTTTCAATGAACATAGATATTAAACTTATCAGTAAGGATATCTATACAAAATCATATCCTGTAAGCTAAAATAAAGGATGTGAATTTTATTGAAAACTGATTTAAGCAAAATATATATATGTATTTTTTGCATAAATAAAAATGCTATTAACAGTCCATGGGGGGGGGGAGGGAATCCTTGCGCTTTATAGTTATGGTTATCTCAAAACATTTCTCCCATATTATGTAATCACATGTTAAGTATTTAGTGGATATCAGTCTTTTTAAATTAAATTTGGTAATAAATATAAAATTTTATTTATATGTAAGTAAATTATTCACTTTTATATACTAATACAGTATAATTTCTGAATGTTTCCTGTTTTAAACCTATTTGAGCTTTGATGCAAAAAAGATCTATTTTTCACAATATAAACAGTTTTGGTATGCACATAAGCAATATAAATCAAAATTTTTAAAAACACATGTACAAACTACAATAACTATTTTAGCTATGAGCTAATTGAGCATTCAGAAGAGTAATGATATAGAAAATGTTTCTTTTTTTACCTTAAGTAAACTTGAAGGTTTCTTTATTGTAAAACAGTAATAATGTTTTGTGTAGAATTCCCCCTTTTTTCCCCTCTTTTAAAAATATGCTGCTTTTTTTGCACTATATTATTTGTAAATATATTTGGTAGATAACACAGAGTAACAGACTACATAATACATTATTTTAATACAGATTATAGCATCAAAATAAAGCTGAAATGCAAATATCACTATGCTAAAATATCTATTGTAAAGAGTGTGAATTTTATGACTGAAACTCATTTGAATTGCATAAAAAAGTATTGCTACTAAATTGTTCATTATCACAATTTATAATTTTTTGCAATAAAAGTACAAAGACAGCTTTCATCATATATGGCTTCATTAATGACATGATATAATATAAGTTGTATATGAAAGGCAATTAATTATTTTTTTTTTTATCTCGGTGTACATTTACTGCTAGATTTTCATTTGGCATATGGAAAAGAACTGACAGTATAAAAAGTATTTTATAAACAAAGTAATTTTAAGATTTATATGATGATAATACTTTTTTTCATATTTACTAAATGGAACTAAAAATATTAGACTAAAATTTAATTTAGTTTTATAAAACAATGATAGAACAGTTTCAGTCAATACTCACACTCTGCTAAATTAATAATACTAGAATATAAAAATGATTATAGTTAACACATAAACTTTTATCATAAAAAGGAATGAAATTTCTGTGTTACCACATCAAGTTTCATTTTTCTGTGTGATAAAGAGAAAACAAATATTTCCTTTTCTTTTTAAAAATTTCTGTACAAGCGCTGAATTTATTACCTAAAACACTTCAAACAGTATTGATCTAGCTTTACATTGGATTAATGAACAATCTAACCAGAGTTTCCTTTCCAACAATATACAAACAAGCTAACTTTGGTTGCATTCAACAACATATTTTTTTTTGCTTTTTTTTAATGTGGTTTCTGTTTTGTTTTGTTTTTCATTGAGCAATGCATCCGTTATTGCTCTGTCTCGACAAAGCTGACAGTTCTCGCAAGACCCCGAAACGTCTGCATCCGACTGTTCTGTGACGTGACGGGTTTTTTAATGCAAACACCAGCACCGAAATTTCGCAGAGAAATGTAAGCACAAGGTGCTTTTGGCACGTGTAAGGCAGTGAGACACTGAGAAAAATTTCAGTCTGGTCCTGAAGCTTCAACAATTGTCTACTTCAAACAACAATATGTAATACACATGAGAAAAAACTCCAGGTTTCTGCTGCATTCTTTCTGTTTTCAGAAAGAAAGGTATAAAACAATGCATAGCAACACAGAAGCTGTTTTATGCATATTTCTTTCCATAGATGATGTTCTATGCATATTTCCCTCACTTGCAGCAGATACCAGTGTGTTTTGCTATACAAGTTCATACATAATGAGGCTTCTGATAAATGATGTCTCATAAGATCCAGATGTTCGGAATGATATGGAGATAAAGCAAAGTTTAGTTGTCTGCGAGCACCAAGACAGAAGCAGTAAATCACACTTGAAAGGTGTGCATACAGTCCATTTTTTTTTGTGGTGACAGAAAAAATATAGTACCTAAAAAGATAATACATCCCCTCTGATAAAGGAGACACATAATATGTTTTGGACTAAGTGCAACATAGAGCAGTGTGCAAAGTAAAGTCATCTCAAGCTTTCCATAAATACCACTCTGTGTTACTCAGAACTGTTTGCATCTGTTGACAGGATATTAACACTCATTTCACAATATTATCACAGCTACAGGCCATTTTGTAAAGGAAATTTCTTCACACTTACTCAGATCTGAAGACCATCTGGTTCTGAGATTTATTTTCACAGATTCTTAATGGTCTGGAAGCTAAGATGCTGCAATATAATTTCTTCAGAATGCTGCAGAATGGAAAGAATTTGCACATGGGATATTCACATATGCTTTAAAATCATACCTATCATCTTCTGAAATGCAAAGTTAAATATTGTTTTGGTCCTGGGCTAATTCCTAACACAAAACTGGAGCATGAAATTTCCTTTAATATTTCCTTTGCTCCATGTGCATTAATTCCTTTCCCTGAGTTCTGACAACTGACACTCATAGGTAAGAGTGGAATATGGACACATCTTCCTTGTCGTGCCTTTGCCGATCAAATAATGTCTGATATAAATGAAAAATGAATGAACCACTACAGATTAAAATTTGCTTTAATTAAGTAAAATATTATTTTATTAAATATAAGACTGATACTGCTTAAAAAATTCAAGTACTGTGTTTCATTTCCCACAATAAAAAGTGAAGAATAACTCAATCACATACACGCCTAATGAATGGAAAGCAAAGAAAATGTAAATTTTTTCCCCTTTTGGAATGGTAAATAAAGCAACACATCTCATTTACATTATAGGAAAGGTAAATGTAATTGAAACTTGCTGTAGATATTATTGTGTTACAAAAACAGCAGTCTTATGAAAAAGCACTTAGTCATAAACAACAGAATGCTATCTTTTATAGAATCAGATGAGGAAATTACAGGTATGATGAACTAATTAATGTAAAAAATGATTTGATATTTGTACTCTCTGTCTGTAACATAAAAACAAGGAATCCAGGTTAGTAAATTACATGGTTTTGATTAGATTTCTACATGTTGAAAATTTTGAGCACAGTAACAGTGAGTGTTTTTTGATCTGTTGTGTAAAATACACAATCTGGAGATAATTATGCATCTTTTTGTTTCTTAAAAAAAATATTCACATCAAAAACGGTAGCAGAGAACTTTTTACATCTGTGTCCTTGCATAATTTTTTCCATTGACTAGCTACCTCTATTTTTAGTAGAGGAGTTATGTTTATCAAGTGCACAGAAATTATATTCCATGATGGCTAAGTAAAGTGAATGAACAAATGAGGTGGGGAGAGGATGTTGTGGTCTGTCCTATTCTTCTCTTTATAGGTTTGTTCCTATATCTGGAGAGACTGGACGGAATAAAAATGCTTGTGGGAGGTGGGCATAACATCTCATCAGCTTTCCATTGTGACAATGATTGAGCCATTATCATGTGGCTGAAAGTTTTCATTGGCCAGTTTCAAATGTCACAATCTCTCTATGAAGAAGCTGAATGTTAGGTAAATGCCATTTTTCTCCAGTTCCACTGCAACAAACTTCCTTATTTTTGACTGAGTCAATCAATCTTCCCGATTAGTACGAAACTCCGCTCGGGAAAATTTTTGGTTCCAGGCTAAGCCTAAAAAGGTGAAAGTCTGTGGAGAATTCTTCTAAAGTTCAGTAACGTTATACTTGATATTCTGCTTTCCTTGTATCTAAAAAAAAGATAATATTTTTTAATTATGATTACAGTGAAATATATGCTGTATGATAGCAAAGACTGCAATTATAAATGTGAAGCAATTTTACACAAAGCATATGAATATATTAATGGTATGTATATTATTCTAGAATGTGCTATCATAGCTTACTAATTTTCAATCAAGGAATTATACTGCTCTTAGTCATGAAACTGATTATTAATGAAATGATCTTAATGACTGCAACAAAATAATTCTACAAGACAATATCTCAGGAAAATATTGTTTGTACACTTGCTACATTTTACATTTGCTAAAATAAAATTTTAATCATCATTCTTTTTAAAAAAGGTGTCACAAACTCTACATCAAAGGGCCAACAATATACCTGTTTGTTTTTCTTTTTTTAGATAATTTAATTAAGGAGGGGGCAATAGTAGATTTTCAATTTTGTTATATGAAATCAGGAAGGATTTTAGAATCATTAGTTTATTAGCAGCAGCTTCACATGTACCAGTACTTATATTACATTAAGATACTAATGCTCTATACAAGAAATGTGGTCAAGTACCTGCAGAGTACAGCTATACTTCTCATTAAAACAAAACTAGGGTATGCAAAAGTAAATGAGTTAACACCTAAGAGGATATCAAATGTCACAATAAAGGTTTTGCAACTACAACATTTCATGTGCTATTAAATAAAGGATGCCATTATTTTTTGCCAAAGGTTGTTACCAAAAGTGAGCTATGTTTCCTTTTAAATTCAGTAATAAAATGCATGAGGTATGAAGGAAATATCATTGCTCATCAAAAGCAAGAAAATGTACTGTTCATTCTTGAGGGCTGAAAGGCTGATGTTTTTATGTAATCAAATGGGTATTTTGCTAGCTGCATGTCTAAAACTTGGAAATGCCATTATTTTGCAATCACAGCCCAATAAGCTCTATGCAGAAATCAGGCAAAAGTTGTTTAGAATGTTGTCTAGAAAAGTCACCATGCTTCATAACAATAAGAGGCCTTGATTCATCAATATGTACCGTGATGTCATGCAATAATTCCATTTGAATGTTCTTGCTCAACTTCCATTACAGCTATTTCAGGATTTGTATGTATAATTAAAGTTGAAATGGACTAGACAATCACAGATAAGTTGCTAATTCATCTACATTCCAAAAGTCCAGGAAATTGTTAAGTAAACTGCTCCTTATGAAGGAGATCTCTAAATTAATTCATCAAATTAATTAATTTAATTATTAATTTATAATATTATTAGAAACAATCTGGACAGGTATATTTATCTGCATACATATTCTTAGGTGTTGTAAAATATATTTATCTAATAGTAGTAGTCCAAATGAAACGCACAAGCTCCAACTTAGCTATTCTATGTTTTTGATGACCCTTAATACACAATACAGCCAAATATGCATAGAAATATGCTTTTGGATTCAAGATTACGAAATATCACATTTTAAATAATCTTCTAATTGTATTGTAACTCTCTTTCGTTAATAGCAACTGTCCCCACTCCTACCACTTGCAAATCAGTATGAATTCCCTCAAATTATGAACCAATCTTATTGCCTCCCCCCACAAAAAAGTATAACATTCATATTCTGCAATAAAGAACAGCAAAACTAGCATAGTAAACCTGGCCTAGAAGGCTTGTTATGGTAACTTTTGCTAAAGCTAGCCATAGACAACACATAATCGAATAATATCAGTTTTTATGATTGTTTAAGGACACTCCTGGCATGAAGACTAAAGTGAAGAAGTAAAGATACATTTTTACTAAATGGTAAGGATAAATATATCTGAAATTGTTTTTTTTTTTCAGTAATTTTTAAATCTTAGACAAAAAGAAATTGTCTTTTAAAATAGAAAAGTTTATTAAATGAGCATGAAACACACTATATTTTATTACTATATTTCCATTTTCAAATAAAATACTTTTATTTTTCACTGTTCATAAAATAGCAAAATATTTTATTAGCATGAAATGAAATAAATTAAATTCTTAAAAAAATTTTCCATTGGTGTGAAAAAGCTAAAGCTGCAAAGACAAGAAGCTGTATTAAAATACAATGTTATTAAGTTTATGACATAAACTTTACATGTTTGTTATGTTACCCAGATTTTGTCTAGATGTGATAATTTATAAACCGATGGCAAGACTATAAACTAGCACTAATGCATAGAAATTACAGCAGCCATTGAGGTCAGTTGAATATATTCGTTTATTGAAAATCACATTCTTAACTTATAATGTTATTCTTAACCTATAATTCTTAACTTAAGTGCAATGGGTATAAAAAATTAGCATATGAAGAAGTCACTAACAAAAGTTGAAAGCAAATTTATAGCTCATTTATAAAAGTAAATATTATCCCCCCCGAAAAAAGATATTTTATTTAAAACTGGCTGAATATTGTAAAAAAAAAAAAAAAATTGTGAAAATATACTGCATTCTGAACATTTAAGAAAAAAATTGTAAATAACAGATTATCATAGATGTGCATTAAGTCTTTATTGGAAAAACATAGTGAGGAATCTTCACTTATATGAATTATTAAATATTTTTTTCACATAAGGCATAAAAAATACATAATTTGTCGAAATCGTGCTTTCGTACTTCAGATTTAACATGTGTAAATGAGTACAAAATAAGTGAACCAATAAGAAAGGTCTTTTCAGGTTCAATACATGTTCATTTTGTAATCATTAGAAAAATTATATGTTATTTAAATAATGAATATATTTCCTCTTTATTATTTACTTGCTGAAAATACTTGCATTCTCTTTTGACAAGTTAATTATTATTATTAGTTTTTTAAATCAAAGTTAGTAAGTCAAAGGGTATTTCATATGAAATGAAGATTTTTCAGTGCAGCAGATGTCAGAGGAATTGAGCTTAGGAAATTTTCAAAATCAATATCATATTTTATTTCTGGTAAATCAGTAATATTTTTTTTATTCTTATGTGAATACAAAATTGATTCCATATTTTCTTTTTTAAAAACGGTTTTTATTAATTTATTAAAAATTCCATAACCTTTGTTATTTTAATTTTTGAGATTGAGATCAAAATGTATTGCAGAATATCATAATCAATAATTTATCTTTCTTTTGAAAGATATATATATAGCAATCTTAAATTCACTCCTTAAAAACATAGTTTGATTTGTTAAATCATCAAACATGAATTTCAGTGTAACATATAAACTAGAATTTTTATAACTTTCAACAACAAGTTTTATTAATGTAATGCTAATACTAACAATATAAGCTCCAGCCAACAAGGTATGTTTATTGTTTAAAAACTCAAGAGGTTTAAAATGAACATAATTTTGTTATTTGTGGAGGAAGAAATATTTAAAAAGCACTGAAAATATATGAATATATTAAACCATAAGTGTTGCAACTAAAAACTATTGTGATTAAAGTTTAGCAACAAGCAAAAAGATATTCAGAGTTTACTTTTATGAAAAGCAACACGAGTTTTATCATGGAAGTGGTGGTGGTGGTGGTGGGGGGAAAAAGGGGGGATGTAAAAAAGGTACATATATTATGTATCATGATCATATTTGTAGAATTGTCAGTAAAGAAAGAGTCAATCTACTGTTAACAGTTTAAGCTGTTCTTTGCCATTTATGCACCAGTAAACTACAAGAATCCCTAATATTAGAAATTACTGTTAATAAAATACTATAATGAAATAATAATATTATTTTTTCTGAATTTGAGAGTAGTTTAAAGAATTTTTACTTCAGTCTCCATACACTGGACTTCCAAGACATTTAATGCAAATGATACCATTCATATATGAAGTGATTACAATGTGAAAGAAACTAGGAGTGAAGGCAATTTCCAAATGGCCTCATTTATTTTTTTATTCAATTAAGAATTTCGTTTTCATCTTCGCATTAAATGTAATGTTATGAATATACATCCAAAAATCTTGGATATATAAGTTCAACTCCAATCTTATGAAGTTTTTAATGACATACTATACTTAAATTATTTCTAATAACAGTTAAGCAAGAGATGAATTATAAATTTCGTATATCATGCAATTTAACTTTCATCTGATTATAATTATCAGTAACTTATGTCAAATAGAGTTTAAGTTTTATTTCATAATTTAACAATATACTCTTCTACTGATTCTACAACATTCTTAACCAAGTTTTCTTGACTGAAGCAGACAATACAGATAATAATTACATTCTCCAGTTACTTCAAATATATTGCTCTTTTTTTTTTTTCCCTTAGTAGATGTTATTCAAATAACATTGCCCTTTTTTCCTTAGTAGATGTTATTCAAATAATATTGCTCTTTCTTTTTTTCTTAGTACATGTTATAGAGCATTTACTTAAAAGAAATTTTAAAATTTGATATTCAATTGCAAAAGTACCTGAATGTTTAAAAAGCACTGCAAGAACAATAAACTGAAATTTGTTCGTGCAAATCTGACATATTTTGAACATGTTCTTTTAAATATACTGGATTATATACTAATAATACAAAATTTTATATGTATATATATATATTTAAGTAACCCTCAGAGCAATTAAAGATTTCTGATTTAAACAGCAAAAACACAATGACATCAGGTAATGGATAAAAATATATACTAAATGTTCATGAAAATTAAACATTTAAATATGTTTATATGTAAGCTGCAACATTACAAATATACATCATTTAAAAAATATACTTTGTAGGATTTTTAAATAACAACATTATTAAATAAAAAAAACTAACTACATCAGTTTTAAGACTTTTTAGTTTATGTCCTAAACACATTTAATCTTTGAATCAGAATTTTTTTTAGTTAGGTATTACTTCTATAGTACTAAAATGATCAGCATTAGTTCTATCAGTATTCGAAAAATGACTACCCGGAAATACTTTCATAATGTTGGAATTTAATCCACTTTATAAGTATAAAGCCTTCATTTCTCAGAATTTTAAATACTTTTGGCTCTTTACTTTCAGAAAAAACTTCAACATATCCTTTTGTTTCTTTAAGTCATAAGCAACTGAAGATCCAAATTCATAGCATCTGTTCAATGTTTTCACAGATGTTCCTTTATCTAACTTTTTTTTTTCAGTAACTCCATCTTTTAAAGTACAAGAAACGATTTCATGCTAATACTCTTTCGGTATCTTTAAATGCCGTAATATAGCTGGATGTATAAAATTAACAGGTCTGCAAAACCAAGAACTCAGCAGCAGTTAAATAGATCTTGAATCCCGAGTATTACTAAGAGTGATTCTAGTGACACAGTTACAAAAAACATACATTACATGCATTTCAAAATGTGCCCGATCATGGAAGTTTTTGGACCACACAGAACCACATACAGCTTGGACTCCTAACTCTGATGTAAATCATTCTTTGATTAATACTCTCTATAGTCACTTATACTGCTGAAGCACATAAAAATATTCAGTATAATTGCTGTTATTATTTTAGGGCCAAAAAGATAAATAACTGAATTAAAAGGAAAACTTAAGGAACTAATGTCACCATCTAGCAAAACTGCAACAACAGTGGTACAATGAACAACAGTTTCATTGTAGTTCAAGTACTACAATGAAACTTTCTTTCAGCAAGAGGTACATCATAATAAAAATGGAGTATAAACTTGGAAAACTTACTTCAAGATTGAAATATGAAGAACAGTTAGATTTTTGATGGAAAAACATCTTAATTGTACAGAGATTCATTATGAACTTATGGAGGTGAAGCAAAAATACTGCCATATTAAAATATATTCAAATGGTGTCAGCATTTTTAATATGGTTATATAGACTTCATAAATGCTGACTGACAAGGAAGCTTATCAAAATTCATCATAAAAAACAGTGTGCTACAGGTTGATGACTGATTCACAGTAAATTACAGACTGACAGTCTCAGAAATTTGACAGGAATTTCATTGATACAGACATGATTTGGCAAATAAAGAAGAGCCATGTAGATGCAAACAGAGCCGGATTTATGATGAGTCTTGAATTTATGATGATGAGTCGGATTTATGATGAGGCTTTAAGGTATTTGAGATATGGCGCCCTTTATAAATCTGTTATACTATATTTTAATACTGTATTTATATAATATTTTAATTTTGGGGGGCCCTAAGCTATAAGTTGTGTAGCTTATATGTAAATCCTGCACTGGATGCAAACAGCAGTTCTGTAATTTTTCCATGAAATAGTGGTAGTCAGTAGGAAATTAAACTTTTGATTGAACATTCAGCAGTCACAGAGATTGGATGGCTGTGGTGAAAGATAATGAGATGTATCCTTTTCATATTATGATGCTCAATAAAATTTTCTTGGCCTATAGTAGTAAAGCGTAACTTTCTTTTTGAATCTTCTACATAATTTTGGATAATATATATATATATAATGTATCTTATACATACTATTACATTTGACTTAACAGTTTGTAGGGATTTATATTTATTTTAAATAACCAATTTTATTTAATTTGTTATTCTTTCCTATAAGCCTTCATTCCCCTAATTGTCAATGCCAGAATATTTAAATTTGGTAGCGTGCGTAAAAGAATGCAAATTCCACCTTGACAAAAGAGTTTAAAAACCGAGGTTCAGTAGGAAAGAGAGAGAGAGTTAGGCACTTGCCATCACCTCTACTGCTTAAGCATCTGCTCCTAGAATCATTGCTGGTCCAAGTGGCTTAAACTGCATTTACTTGCTGTCTCTAGTTTCGATGGGGTGTTTAAGAAAGAGTAGTTATTCTGAGCCTTGTAGTTTAGTTCAATGACTTCTACATATCTTAAATCTTTGTTAGTTTTTCGATTTCCGTTACTGCCCAAGCGGAGCCATAGTTTGTTAGCGTCGAGCTGACGCATTGTAAAGTTTAAAGAATTAATAAAAGGGTACTTTTAACCCTTCTTCTGTGAAGTTACTACTCTTACAGTTCTCACACAGGAGTTATCTTAGGGGACTCTGCAAGTTAAATTAGTTGAAAGGATTTACTTTAAACTGGAAACTGAATGGGAAATTTATTACAAACATAATTATAAGATCAGGTCTTAAAATATGTAGTTGTACATAGTAAATTTTGCTGCATTAATGATAATAATTTAACCTTAGAGAATATTTTAAATTACAAGCAATTCAATTCTGAATATATATTGAAGTACTTCTGATGAAAAACAATAAATATTAAAAATGTATTTAGATATTCAAATGGTTGGTCAAACAAATATTTCACAAAAAGAAAAGTTTTCTGATATCAAGGTTAAAAAAGATACACTTTTAAAGTTTTCATATAGAGTAGAAATGGTATAGCATAAAGACAGAAAAACCTTACCTATAGTGCAAGCTTCCTCAATTGCTATAAAGCATTCAAAAAGAAAATGAAGGTTTAGAACAAGAGGTTAAGTCAACTCAAAAGACAATAATAACAGAATGATATGCTATAATTTTTAACAGATAAGAGAAAAGTAAATTCAAAAGGTAGTAAGAATTATTTTATATTTAAGATTGGTACTTATCCTAATTAAGTCAGTTAAAATCATGTTTTTAAATTTATGTGAGTTAAGAGGAGGGGAAAAAATATGCAAAATGTGTTTAAAAGAAATTCTGAAGTAGTATTGTAATTATATATAACATAATGTGATAGTATGTTTATTCTCAATATTCATTATACCAAACTACACACATATATTACATCTTTATTGTATGAGAGAAATATAACATATGCAATGCTGGAGGTCTGCTTTGATCAGAAATAGAATATTTTAATTATAATAGAATATTATTTAATAATAAAGTAATTATATGCCACTAATGAAATAAATTATTAGTTTGTTTATTAAAAATACATTTTAAATCATATTGAATTAGTAATTTCTGACTAAAAGTTTACTTATTATGGATAAATTAGAATTAAAAATTAATGTACTTTGGAAAGCCTTCAAATAAAATTTGAAAATTTAATGATAAAGCCTGTGTTTGAAGAGATAATGAATAGCTGAAAAATGACACATTAGGACACACTGACACATAAGGAATATCATAATCTCTATTTAAATTTTAGAAATACAATTCAAAGTCTGAAATCTGGATGTCCAATATCTGGACCTTCGGACCATCAGAAATGTTTTGTGAAAAGGGAGAAAGACATCGATTTTGAGAGTAGCATGCCACTTTAGCTTATGCTTAATGCTTCATGCATGTGCAATGGACAAGTTTTTCATAAGAAAGTATGTAGATGGTCCTAATTCTTAATTTCACTTTCACACTGAATGAAACAACTCAATGTTGAAGAAATACAGTCATTTAAAGCATGAATGTGTCTGATCAACAAATGGCTCTGTAGCTGCTGTTTTGCTTGGCATACATCTTAAACTCAAACATTCTACCAAAAATTCATTGCTGATTTTACAAAAAGGTTAAGCCTATTCTAACCTCCTTGCGATTTTACCCTTAGTGAACTATATCCCTGATGCCAACCTGGCAAATAATTTTTATTACTTTTTGCGTTCATCACCACATGACTATCAACTTATGACAGTTTGAGAAATGAAGCATGCAGCGATGTCTAAAATAATTTTTTTTTAAATTATTAATGAGTAATCGAATATCAAAAAGCATGGTAACCTTTTATGTTATTATGCTTGGTAACGATTACAGACTTCAGACAACTGCACTGCAAAGTGTTGACTGAGTTAGTGCTGCTTGAATTGTGAACACCTGATCTCTTGTTCATATATTTTTAGTGTGTGGGAATTTGTTTATTTTGGACTCGGATAAACCTTAAGAATATACTAGAAATAGATATAAATATAATTATATCTAATATAAATTAATATAATTTAGGTTTAACTTTCTCAGCACACAATAGAAGCAAAATAAAATTTTTTGAAACAGCACATGTTTAGTTGCTAATCCCATGATACATCACCAATAATGAATAACAGATGATAGCTGTGACTTTGAAGGTTTTTGGATATTGCAAACAAAAAGCAAAATTTCCTAATTGAGTAACGGCAATGAATAATGATGATATAACAGAAGTTTTCCATTGCAAAGAGGATATTCAAATCATCTGTTACCTAACAGATGGCAAAAACTGTAACGTAGTTCTAAACTGAGAAAATATTGCTACCAATAGTAAAGAAAATGACAGGGAAATTGAGAATGAAAAAATTTTGACATAATTTAATGGGAATTCTCAGCATGATAATTACAGGACCTAAACAATGGAACTTCATCAACTTTTAATCCCTGGTCCCCCCCCCCCCTCAAAAAAAAAATTCAGGAAAGCATGCATTTTTAGACAAAATTAAGTTTGTAGAAAAGAAGTGCTTTTGTTGTAATAATTATGTAAAAAAATCACAATTTCTTTGGATATTAAAAATTAAATGTGTAGAGTACTCAGGTTAGATCAATGCAGGGATGTGAAAAATGTGCAATGCCCTCGCCGCGTCGAGCTCTGTACCTTCTGAATATGCATCAACCGCACTTCTGATTACACCGTGAAGGCATGCATGAAAGCAGGGAGAAAATACAAATCACACTTTTCTAGATGTAATTCTATAGATACAAAGTTCCACTTATGAAAGCTCTGAGTGACTGAGATTAAAGCTCAAAAGTCTTAGGCTTAACAAAAGTTAAACTTTTGATAGTTCCATAAAAATTTATTAAATTAAAAATAAATTAATATAATTGTCATCAACTAAATTGGTTTCTCTCGATTTTGGACACATTTTTTTGCTAAAACAGTGGGCGTGGGGATATTCTACTCCTATAAATCTGAGAAAAGATGAAAAATACAAACTTTTATTCTCTTATAATCGTTAAAATCTTTCAAATCCTAACAACTGTTAAATGTTTTAAAATAAGTTTCATAGACATCCAATAAGAGTATTCTTTAAAAAGGAATGCAACTGTTGCAGTTTCAGTGGACATTGATAAACAATCATTTTATTATCATTCTTAAATCATTCTTACAGAATACAGAATAATATGGAAATTTAGAATACGGCATGACGTATTCTAAATTTTCTAGAGAGATTTAGCATTTGATGCTTAGTATTTATTTATGTTAGTATCTATCTATTACCCATTAATTTTATTAGAAACAAACTCTGGAAAAATGTAAACTATTATCAAATATTTTTAATCAGACTACACTGAGAAAAATGAATCTCAAGAATTACCTCAGGTTTTTAATTATGTACATCATTTTCAGTTGTAGCCTCATAATGTACATAGTAATATTCTTAATTTTGTTTTTCACTAAATGTAGATTTAAAATTTTGCTTTAATTAAAATTTTAAAACTTAACTATATTTTTTTCATTTATTATTATTTTTACATGGAGGATTCAAAAGATCTGACACTTGAAAGATTTGAGAAAATTTAAAGTTCATTACACCTTAAAAAATACTGTACATGAATCATAAGATCATGAAGCTTATCAAATTCATCAGATATTGATTTTAATTAAATTATCTATACCCTAACAATCTTTACACACCTTACAGCATAAATGTCTGCCCTTTCTTTTTATTCTATAGATGATGTTAAACAATTGTTGCACTAAATTTATGAAGTTGAAATTATGTGTGAGAATGATGTACAATAGATAGTGACTTTGGAATGTAGTAAGCACTTTTCTTATATAATTATAATAAACCAAATAAATTTTTAAATTTCACAAGCAATTAAAATCTATGAATTTCTTTGTTACAGATATTGAATTCAATGAAATGGAACAGACATTTTATTTTGAAAATAAATAATTTATAAAACAACATAAAATTTCTTGAAATTTATGATGAAAATTTGTTTCAAATGATTTTACTTCCTAAATTTCTATGAAATGAAAACTATGAATGAAATATTAGAATTGTAATAAAAGATGAGGACTGAAAATTATTTATTACTGACAGTGATAATTGCCAGTTTTACTTTTAATAAAAATATTTTTATTTGAAATACAATATTTAATAATCAACTACTAAATTTTATCATCACTAATATAGCTAATATTGATGTTAAATTTAAATATGAGAGTGGGGACCAATGATCAGTTTGTTGGCTTCCGTTGTAAATTCAAATACCACTTATTAAAGAAAAAGTAAGTAGTGTATTGAAACACAAAAATATTTGAAGACTGCTTCTAAAATTAGAGGGTGCTAAAAAAATTCCAATATAAGAGTTCAAGTATATTTATAGACCACATATTAAACATCAAGATGTTTAAAACTGCATTAAAAAACCACTTTAATTGTATTACATAATATGCTGTTTTATATGAACATCTGACATAAAATAAGTTTATAAATTTATCTTTATTAAATTTAACAATCTAGAATTAAAACCAAATTTCATTTTGGATTTCATACAATCTCAATTAAAAGATGTTTTTAACAGATATGCTGATGCCCCATTTTTAAGTGAAATCTAATGCTTGTTATAACAGCATTTATTTTGTTTAAAATGATCAAAATATAAATTTGACGCAATTTGAATTAAATGATGTTTTTAACAGACATATTAATATCTTATTTTTATCAGTATGTATAAAAGTAAAATCTAATGCATAAATACATATTTATTTTGTTTAAATTAGAAACATATGATTCCCCAAAAACCTAATTTATATTTCAACCATTATTTACTACACTAATTTTTTAGCCCTTTTCTCGTTTATAAAACTGACACAAAATAAAGTTTTTAATTATTACTGGTAAGTCAAATCATAACTAAAAGTATTTTAACAGCAAGACAGAAATTTACTTGTAACAGAACTTACCTGTAGATTAGAAAAGAAAAATTTTTACATTGCAAAATATTTAATCATTTGTAAAATGTTAATTCAAAGTTGCACAATAATTGAAGAGAAATCGAGCAAAAAACATATTTGTCTTTATAAGTGAAGCATGTCCAAAAATAAAAACTGAATAAACTTAAACAGTGATTATTAATTTCAAATGAACCATAAGAGACACGACAGTAAAGTCTACACCAAGATTTACAGAGAAAAAAAATGAAAACGGATCACCTTTTTTTCTCCTTTGATGACATGGGATCCAGTTGGTTGGAAGGAAAAAATTTTTTAAGTTAAAATTTCAGTAAGAGAAATTTAAAAATTAATTATTAAAAATCAGGTGGTATTATAAAAACTAGGTGAGAGGATTATGAATTTATATTGAATTTTAAAAAGGTCTGGTAGTGCAAATCATACAAACAGTTTATTAAGGTGCTATATAAATAGTAAAGATTATTTTGTCTATAAGTATCATATCAATTTAGAAGCATCAATGCTACATAGCCAAAGGATTAAGAAATTGTTTATTTAAAAATATTTGAACTACCACAACAAATTTAGAAGGCACTGAAATGTTAACCTAGTCATTATAATTTCCTCCCTGCATATCAATTAAAAGTAGTATTTACACTTAAAAAAGATTATTAAATCAATAGTCTTAAATATTTAATGAAATGCCTTGACACAATATCAAATTGTGGTTTTCATGTTTCATTTCACAGACATTTAATCTTGGTGTACCAAAATAAAGACCCAGAATCATATTTAAAACTTGAAAAAGTATCTTAATATGCATTATAGAATACAGAATAATATAGAATATGATCAGAATATTATGAATAGAATAGTATGATCTGTAAAACGAAAAGTATACAGTTTAGATAAATAATGAACAGAAGAGAAATTAATATCTATCAAAAGAGGAAATTAATTACCTAAAATCAACACTTGATAAATTCATGAATTTTATGACATTATTAATATTTCTACTATTATATAAGAATTAAATAACACATGGATCCCGTTTTATGTACTTACCATATTATTAATGAAATTTTTTCCTATTAGAATGTTAATTTTAGGTGCTCATTCAGTTACAAGTAATACATTAACCTTTGTTTCAGCTAAAAATTTATATTTAAGTGTACAATAATTTAGAAATTAGGTTCAAATTATAAAAAGGTTATGTTCATTTAATGAAAAGTTAGAGAATGCAAACCATAAAAAGAAAATAACAGAGTCATGATTTATTTTTTATTTCAAATGATTTTTTGATAATTGAATACACAGTTTCAATTTACTTCTATTTAGAAGTATTTACATTTCCCAGTTATAGTTTTACAGTTAAAGTGTCTAGTGATTTTCTCTGATATAGAACTAATATTAAATTTTGTGGACTTCAACTTAGACAACCATGAACTATGAATTAAGCTAAAGCTACATTAAATTTACACATTATATATCTAGATTTTATTTTTAAAATGTATCTTTGTATTTTAACAGGAAATGTCACCTTCCTTGTTCCTTGAATTTCAGGGAAAAAATTCAAATTTCTATAAAACTTTACAAAAGTTCCAAATTTCTACAAATTGTTATATTAGTATTACTGCATTAAATTTTGATAGCATTTCTGTAACATGACTACTGGTCACAATTTTAAGGGACTCAAAAATACTTCTTCAAAATTTTACATCTTTTACAATAAATGTTTTATATTAAATGATAGTTACTATTAAGAGATAATTTCATTTAATTATTAAAAAAGCAATTGGTGCTTTCATATCAAAATAAAATCAAATGACTTAACAAAATTTCAAAATCAAATGACTTAACAAAATTTCATTTACTTAAGACTACCATATGCCAGATGGTGGAATGGCAATAACATATTTTATATAAAACCTTATGGCACTAAAGCACATTCAAAACAATAATGATAGTTATTGAAGATTTTTAATCTTGTTTGTGGAAGAATATGCTAGAGCAAATGGACAGCCTATACTTAATTTATATTTCCATGCTAATATCCATCTTTTTGAATAAAACTGATTTCAGTGATATGCTATCATTGTGTTTGCAATGACTGTTTGTGCTGATAGGTCTGATTTCCCAAAATTTAATTTGGTGAATTTGCATTTCTGAATAATTCATAAGTACTCTCAAAAGCAACAGTACTAAGCATTAATAGTTTTAAATATGAAAATTTTCATAAACTAAATTTTCCAGGGAATAATTTATGCAAAATAATAAAACTTTTGTAACAAATTTAGGCAAGCAAAACACTTAAATGTTAAAAATTTGCTTATACTCATCAAATATGAGAAACAGTATATCTAAAAAAAAAAAAAATAAATGGAAATATAATAGAAGTAAATTGATGCATGTACACTGCTGTAGAAAAGAGGATGATAGAAAACCGATAAATCAAAAGTTTGGATGACTTTTGCCTGCAAACCATAATGAGATACAAAATTCATAAATTAATACCTAGTCCATGATGCAGCTTTATCAAAAAGCCCAAGGGGAAAAAAATCATTTTATTCATTTTTTTTATCTAAGTGACTTTGATGTTATTTGGAAAGCAAAAAATTACTACTGTGAACCAACAGAAAAAAATACTAAGATTTCAGTAAAAAAAATCTGAATGAAATTAAAAACTTATTTTCACTTTATTTGATCCATGAATGAATTTTGAAATTGCCTATAATTGAAAATATGATCAGTTAGCAGCTTCACAATTAAGAAATATAATATGGTGGTTGGTCATTAAAATAATGAAATAAACATGTCAATAAAAAATGAAAACAAATTTAGAAAATTTTGTTCAATATCTCTTCTACAAGAAATACATAACAATAGTAAATACAATAATAACTATTTTTACATGAAACAAAATATCAAAATAATCTCACTTTTTAAGTGGAACAGGACTACCACCATGAGAATGGCCTCCATTCCTTGCATCGGCTATTGGACATGTCACCATCATGTATGCTGTTAGGAGATCAGGATAAAAGAAAGGAAGGCCATTATAGCAGTACACTTAACATTTAAAAACATTAAATAATGAAAATCAATAGCAAAGAATATAAAAAATTAAGTGAGCAGTTTAAATTATTGTGTTAATCTACTGACATGTCACAATTGAAAGTCTTGCAAAAAACCAGTTTGCTTCTAATAATGGCTGAAATCCTAACATTTCAGGATTTGTTTTGTATATAAATCATAAAAAGAATAAAAACAAATCTTTAATAAGAATTTGCTTTTTTTCATCCTTTTTCGTTCATTTACTTTCTAGAATATCTATTCTATATATTCTAATAGAATATTATTTTATATATTCTAATAGAACTATAATTTAATCATTTAAAAATAGTATTAAAATATTTTGAGCATCCATAAAAAGCATTTTTTAGATTAATTTCTCCATTGTTTTTATGCTGTACAGAACCCAACAAAAATAAATACAATAATTTATATTGGAAATTTATATAAATTACATCTATTCACCCTACTTAAAAAAAATCAAGCCTTTGTTAACTTAGCTCATGGTCAGCAAATTAATAAACAATGAATATCAGTTAAACTATTAAACTGGCATGAAGTCACATTTATACCCAGTTCTTTCAAATCATAATTAGTGAAAAAAAGGTTAAAAGTTATTAAGGTTAAATAAAAACTTGAAATATATTTTATCAACTAACTAGTTTTATGCAATAGTTAAAAGTACAGTCAAAAGTCGTTAATTCGGACACCCATAATCCGGAATGATCTATAATATGGACCTTAAAGCTACAAACTTTCTGCGCATGCGTCGCTTTGATGCATGCGCGTAAGACCTTTACGGCTGCGAATATGCTTGTGCGCGTGTGCAAAATATGTTTAGGAGTGCGCGTTTAATGTATAACAGACGGTATAAGCTAAGCTAAAATTATCTAATTATCTATTTCAGTTAATGTTGCAGATTGCGTTGTTCCTTAATCTTCGAATTGGATCTGGCTTATTATTTTTTGCAGACTGTTAGAGCAATTTATAAAAGTAAGCTTGAACTTTCGATTATGTCAAATAGAATTTCTGATATATATTTATTAATATGTAAAGGATCTACAAAGTGAAAGTATGTTTTGAAGTTCATTAAACAAAAAGTGGAATTGCTGCAAAAAATGGATAAAGGCATATTCTTTGTTTATCTAAACTTTAACGTTTGTCTATCTAAACTTTGTTTATCTTTAATGCCCTGGCATGCAATGAATTGGAAGTTGATCTGTCAGCACTATCCTTATCTTCAGGGCAGATGTTTTTATTTTATTTGGCTTATAATTCCTTACTAAATGTAGTAATCTCGATATACTCCATCTTTGATATGATTTAAATCAAATTCCTCGTCATTATAATTCGCTTCCGATAGCGAAGAAAGTGACAGAGGTTATTGAAAACGAAACAATTTCGATTGAGAAATTAGTCGGTAGACACAGCAATTATAGGACTTGAACAGCGGAACTTTGTAACTGAACAAGAAATTATGTCTGTTTATAGAATTAAAGAGAATGTATTATCACATAAAAACGAAGCAACTTAAACAACTTACATTGAAAGAAATGTTTAATAAAGTAAACAAATAAATATTAAGCTTTTTTTTGTAAATTTTGATACCCTTTAGATCATAATTGTTCTTTATTTCATAAATTACGGTTTCATATTTTTAATTTTATAATTTCTGCATGCCATCTTACCAGATTTAAACTGATGATCTATAATCCGGAATCGCCGAAGTCCCAACCAGTCTGGATTAACGACTTTTGACTGTATTTTATATATAATAATATATTACCATTATAAACAAGAAATGTATTAAAATTATTTAAAAGAGGTTTATGATATAGCAACTAAAGATGTTAATAATTATTATTTTTTATTTATTCATTGTTAACTATTAAGCTGGACTCATTTATGTAAAATATAAGTAATAATAAAACTTCTCTACTATATATTCCCCTCCCCCAAATGGCGGGCACTTGCCTACGCCAGCATTGACCACTCCTAAGGTCAGATGTGGTGGTCTCTTTATTACGGAGGCACCTAATAGGTGGGCCACTATTGCCTCCTATGAATGGACAGACAGTTTTTACCCCCATGCCTTCTCCGGGATTCGAACCCGGGCCCTTTGGTATCGCAGTCAGGCTTCCCTAACCACTATACCACCTGTGCGGCAATTCTCTATAATGATCGAACATGTATTAAAAATTATTTAGAAGTTTATTATATAACAAATAAAGGCTTTATAGAATTGTTATTTTTCCAACATTTATGATTAATAATTAAACTGGATTCATTTATGCAAAATTAATTATTTTCAGTGAATTCTATCTAACAAATAAGTTGTATAGGAGTACAACCAACAATATGCAAGCAATACCTAATATTTTTTGTCTACATTAATCTACTTTGCAATAGTGTAATTAAGTCAGCAGCCTATGGTAAAGTGTCTATTTCAGTGGATATGAAGCTTAATGATAAAGTGACAGGAATTGGTATACTCTGAGTAAATTTGAGGTTATACTATTAATGCTAAACAGATCCTTCTTACTTAGCTACAAGAATAAAAATAAAGAAAAGAAACATGTGCCTACATAAAAACACAGAAATTCAGGAAAAAAAAAAGTTCTTAGATAAGCAATACAAAATGAAGCATCTAGGGCCATCTATCGATTGAAAAGTGAATGAAAAGCAACTAAGAAATAAACTCGTGAAAACTGACAGTAAAGAATGATTTACTGTCAGGATCAGGATTTCTCTTTATAATTTATTAACCTATTCCCTCTCCTTCATTCATTTTTTAATGAATTTGTTATTTAGTTGCTTTTTGTTCAATTTTTGGTCAAAAGCTGAAGCACTTTATTTTCTATCATTTTGTTACGAATTCTTAAATCTCTCTCATTATCATGCAGGAGCACATTTTTCTTTTATTACTTGCATTCACACAACTGAAGAAGAATGTTCTCCTTAAATTTTGAAATTATAGTGCTGCCAATTTATTCTTGCTGCTTTTTAGCAGATATTTTATCAAGTAAGTAATGAGTGAATATGCAGATTTCTTATTCTTGAGTTTATGTATAACATAGTAATTTAAAAGCAAACGAAAAGAAAGTAATTACTGATGAGTCACATTTTCATAAATTTTAAATATGAAAGAAATACATCTACAAACATGGAATTTTAATTGACGCCTCAAAGACATCGTCACAATGATTTTACAAGTGAAAGGATTACAGAGATGAAGGAAAGCCTTACAACTATGCTGCTGTGCCAAGTTTTATGTAGTAACTTTAGCCAGTACTTCAAAGAACTGTGTTTCAGCTGCACTGCAGGGAATAGCTAAATAGTTAGCTAACTTTCATATCATATCTATTGCAGCACAAGAATGAGAATCTGATAAACTGTGACTTTATGTTTGAATTATATTATTACTGTATAACTAAAGATTGATTTATCAATATGGTGCTATTAAAGCAGAATCATACCAAGTATTTTCAATGGTGTCAGAGTCACCTCTACTGAAACAAGATAATGGAACATCTTGTCTCAGATTAATTCAATCTGTAACCAGATTCCAGATGTTATTTCATCTGCTAAGAAAGGGCTTAGGTGCACCAGCAGGAGATCATACAAGGAAAATATTACTGCAATCTTGGGATGATGAAGTGGGATGGCATCATGACTAATGAATGTACTGTGATGGTCAATGGCACCAGGAATTATATCTACAGAAATGACGTTATTGAATACCATGTTGCTCATTTTGTACTACCATCAATGAAGAATTTTTTTATGGATGATACCATGTTTGATCAAATTAGAGCAAGTGATCAAATAAGAATGACAGTGAGGATATCCAATGAATCAGTTAATCTGTATACTTCCAAGACGTCAACACACATGGGAACACATGGGACATTGAGATGAGCTACAGTTCACAGTCCTTTGCAGGAAGCATGGAAAGCCTAATTTATACTCTACAAGAGAAACCCTACCCCAGGAACCCTGAAATCAACTGATAATGAAAAAGCATTGCCGTTCTGACTGCAGCATCTCAGCTTGAGGTAGATATATTCCCTACTGAGATGTCAAATTATCTGGATAATGAGATTCTTTTCCTTTTCTTCACATATGCCCAATTCTTATGCAACTTTTCTGCAAGATGCCTGCAGCCATTGCTTTGATCGGTTATTTCAAACAAATTGTAAATTGTTTTCTTGTATATTTGGAAATAAATAGCTTGTCATATTTATTTTAATTCCCATGTAGTTTTCTCTGTACATGTAAAAATGTTATTTATCCTTAGTTTTGGACAAGTGCATATGTAATTTAAAAACTCCCAGCAAGCTATTCTGTGTATTCTGATAATAACTGAACCCTGATGAAACTGTGGTTTGCTATTTAGCAACTGGTAATCTGGAGAAACTTGATATTTTAAAATTTCTTAGTTACAGAACACTGCATTACCACATATTTCCATCAATTTCCAACTTATCCATTTCTATAAGCCTGTCTGTAATATTATCAAAGCCTTGAAATGAAATCTATATTCTTATGATTACACTACATCACACTGAAATTATTCTAGTTTTATATAATCAGCACAAATAGCTAAAATTTTAAAACATTTGATGAATCTTTATCTACTCTGTAGAGAAAATCTTAATGACTCACTTAATATTCATCATATGGCACCACTGGCATTATTAACCCTTAACATGATGATAGGGAAATAATGGTACTTTTTTTGTTAACCACTTGTGCTAAAAAGACGTGCTATGCATGTTGAGATGCTTTTGTCTCAAACCGCGAGTGACGTGAACACCCATGTTGATAGGCATTTATCGCAAAAATGAAAATAACATGGTGCACATCGCCTAACAACGACATTGTTTATTTCCCGAGTTACAGCTCTGAATTGCACTTGCACACGCAGAGCGGCGTAAATGAGACACTTTACCACTTGTTATATTGTAGCACATGTCACTGCAACTGTGAAGTTTAGTCATAGCGCAAGTGGTTAAAGCTGTATCACACATTTTTGGCTCCCTATTGCAACATTTTGGTTTACTCATTTCATCCATGCATTTGGTTTAACACTTTGTTTTAACAAATAAAACAGAATGATGGAGAACAGAAACAAAGAACATTGTAATTTCATGACAAAAATCTTCCAAAAACCCATTGTGGGGGAATAACACAGCCTATTTTGTTTTGTGAATAAGCTTACATTTGTTTTTAAGGAATCGGCATATATCTTTCTTATTTGATAAATATAATCAATGGTGTTGTGATTCATTTGAAACAAGCTTTGTTTCACAAAATTCAACACACACTAACCCTTAACATCAACAAGAATGTTCCTATTCTTTCCTCAGAGAAAAAAGGATTGCCAGATCTTCATCTCTTGACAAATCCCAATCATAGAATCCATTGCAATAATAAAAGATAATAATGATTAGAAGAATAACATGGTCACATGAATAATGATTATAAAGACAATTACCACCAGGGAAGAACGCCAAACAAAACTCATGACACCTGGTGCTAAGGAAATATGCTAAAACAGAAACTAAGTAGTATGGCTTCAATGGAAAAATACTGAAATAGCAATTTTTGAAGAGACCTTTGAACAGAAAAAAGGTGCATTTGGATAAGAAAATAATGGTGACATATCCAGGAATGGGAATGGTGGATTTTTATGAATACTTGGTTTAAAGAAAGACTGCTGGTTATTTGATACTAATGTTGAGACATATTGATGCATAGCCATCATCAATTTAAATTGCAAGAATACATAATATCAAAGCCACAGCAGTATTTTCCATAACTACTTTGTTAATGGAGTCATGCAACACTTGTGCATGTTTAACTAGAACTCTCAAAAGAATTTGAACAAGGCCTAATACAGCATCTGCAAGAAATATAACCTTTATATTATTACTTAGTTTACTCCTGAATATGAAACTGGGTGTGAATCTATGATGACGTGTATAGCACTGTTTTGTGCTTGTGAATTTAAAACAATTAACTGGTAATATAAATAAACTGGATTATAATACTTGCATTACTGATTTACTCATGGAATTACTGTGTAAAAAGAGTAGCATATAGCTTTTTTCATGTATAACACAGAAATGCGTAAGAGTTTTAAAAAAGTGATTTGATCAACATTATCTATCAAAACTAAAGGTGCTGGTGAATTAAAAATGTTATGACTTTTGATACTTTCAAGGGAAGATTCTTCATATTTAATTACTAATTATATGAGACAGAACTCCAGCAATGCAGCAAATATCTAATAAGGTAAAGCTATTACTGTATGCTTCCATATTTGCTGCCATTTCTAATACTGAATATATGTACCTTCGATAATAACTCATGTTTTACACTGTTTTGTTCTCTGTTTCTTGTATAGGTGCTGGTTATGAATGTGTCTGCATATGAATATAGGCTAGTGATATATGCAATACAACATATATATTTTGAAGTATACATATGAAGTATTATACAAGATGTATCTCTAATGAATGGATGATGTAAGCAAATAAGCTCAAACAGCATTACAATTTCTATTGCTATCATATTTTGGAATTTTACAAAATTCACATTTCAATATGATAATCAATGGTTGTAAACTGCCCAGGTGTCCTTATGCAACCTCAATCAAGATTTTTTTTTCCCCACTGACCATCCTATTTAGCAGAAATTATCAAACATGTTCAGAGACTTTAAATATAGAACATCATCAAGTAATACCTGATGGACTGATAACAACACTGCTTGAAGCATGTTTGTATATTCTTTGTAAAATGTGCCACATATCTCATATCTTCATTGCTATCTTGTCATTTTCAGCCTATGAAAAATTTATCATAAGTTTTGTTTTATAATTTTATTCACTGATGCTCATATTATCCATATAAATAACTGATTTTCCCCTAATTACTCATTAAATTATTTGCAGTGTCAAGAAGTTTTAAGAACATTGTTATATAGCATTAGTTAATATAACTTGTAATAGGATATTTTTGCATCTGTGTTAATTTCAACACATTAAAATGTCATTTTCAGCCTGTGAAAAATTTATCAGAAGTTTTGTTTTATAATTTTATCCACAGGATATCACATGTTTTCCATTTTCAAAGTCTTAGTTCCAGGAATGATTAGCATCCCTATTTCAGAATTAATATTTTCTTTAAAACATTTAAAGTAATTTAACTGGAGGATAAGAATTGTTTACATTAAAACTTGTATTTATACTGATGAACCTAAAGCCTACAAAAGAGATATTTTTTTAGCAATACATATTAAGTATTTATTACTGTTTTTTTACCTCATTACTTTGCATTTAGCATCCCACACTGTTCTTATTTTATTTTGCATTATATGTGACAGGAATATCTTTTTGAAATTTCTGACCAGGGAAATCTTTTGAATTTTTAAGTATAGGGAAGTGAGAAAATACTGAAAACTTAATATTTCTTAAATGATTACTACGCAATTTAATGAAAAAGCTGATGAAAAAAGACTTAAATTACCTTTCTCAGCTTTTCTCCTTTTCCTCTTATTGCATATTTTGACAGCACAAACAGATAAAACAATGGCAGCTATGAAAAATAGTATCCCACCAACAACACCAGCAGTGATAGCTTTGCTTCTATTACGATCCTGAAGATCACCTAATGAAAAAAAAAAAAAAAAAAAAAAAAAAAATCATAAATATTTATAATAGAAACAAATATTTCCTAAAATGAAAGAACCTTCCCAGTTCCCCTTTCCTATACATCAATTCAACCACTGCAACAACTCCTCTAAACTGCCTGTTTTTTTAAAGATTTCAATAATTTTACAAAACACTGCTATTTTAATATTCCAAAAGTACATTTTTAAAAATCCCCAAATTGTTCAGGTTTTAGTTTTTATTATGGTAAGAAAGTTACATTTTACTGATGATTAATATACCACTTTTATTGATTGATGCAATGTGAAAGATATTTACTTAATAGAATATTATTTGAAAACTGTTTTTCTATACATATGCTAATATAAATCAATATTATTTACCATTATAAAAAAGACTTAAAACAAACAATTTTTAACTTATTCTTCTTTGCTTATTAGCCTGTTTAAAACTAATGTACTTACAAAGATAAATGGGTAGAATAATTAATTACCTTAAAAATTTTACATTAATTTCCAAACATTGATGATTTTAACCCAATTAAGTTTTAGTGGTGAATTTCTCACATAAAGCAAAACTCAAAATAAGATTATGACCATCTTTTCTTTAGTTAAATTATAACAAACCTTTTGATTATAATGAACTACGTCTTCATTGCTTGTGTGTATTCTTGCCCTTTTTTGCATACACGTGTGAGAGATGTGGGGAGACATACAGAGGGTGTTCATATATTTTTAGAAAAAATTTGATGAACTAAAAAGAAAGCAATTTTTTTAAATAAAAATTTCTCGCAATAGTTTTTTTTTTAATTAGAAGTACTGTCCGCTACTTTTAAATGTATTCTTCTTTTCAAAATGTTACATGTAAGGAAGCTGTGGATTGAAGGATGTGTTTTTTTCACTTTCCAAAGAGAAGTATTCCTATTCCATAATTCAAAAACTTATAAAATGCATAGTATTAAAATTTCTGTATGAACTATAAACAACATTATTAATTAGAAAAGGAAAAACTGCCAATTCTTGGTTCTATAAGGAATGAGGATACCAACCAAATACCTGAAAAAAGTACATATTGTTTCTAATGTTTCTAAAGTTAAATTATTGGTAACAAAAGAAAATCCATCTAGGTAGAAAGCAACTGGAGTCAATCAAGTCTTAAGATATATCTATAGCAACAATAAATAAAATGACAAACCAAGATTTACATCTTAAAAAAGCTAAATAACATAATGTTCATCAGCTTTTGTTGATCCACATGGCTCAATCCAGAACAATTTACAGAACCCTGTATAAAAACTATTTAGCAGGAGATAAATGGATATAGATACATTGTGACCCAGTGGCGTAGCTAGGGTGGGGCAAGGGGGGACATCTGTTCCCAAGCGCAGCATTCAGAGAATGCCAAATTGATGTTATGAAATTTTAGATTGAAATGCTTTCTGTTCTTGGCACAGAGAAAGGTGGCGCAAAACCTTCAGTTGTCCCCAGGCTCCGAAAAAACTAGCTACGCCTCTGTTGTGACCCTTGATGAAGCATAGATTTACCTAAATAACTGCAGAAAAAAAAAGGTCTATTTATTATTGAAAACGAAGAGGAAAAAAAATGTACAAACCTAGTTCCTATTATAAGTATAATAAATTACTAAACTAATCTAATTCATGCTAACTTCCTTTATATGCAACAAAAGCAAGACAAAATTTAGTGGAACTACACCTCTTTAGTTGCCAATCTCTGTGATGCATCACCAATGGTGTATAGCAGACGCTATATCAGCTTTATGCAGTAAATTTGAAGGTTTCCAGACATTGCAAACAAAAAGCAAAATTTTTCAAATTTTTTGTGAAAAGATGTGGAGAACTGATAATAAATGAAGATGGCATTACAGAAGTTTTCCATTGTGGTGACAATGTCCCAATTATCAATCAGCTAATGAACAGCAAAGTTTGTAGTATAACCATACTACAGAAATACTAAATACAGAAAATATCACTACCGATAGTGAAGAAAGTTGCAGAGAGGTTGCTGAGAATGAAAAAAATTTAAATGAAGTTCAGCAGGAATCTTGGATACAGAGTTAGAGGACTTGAACAATGAAACTTGTAAGTGAATAAGAAATTGTCTATCTATGAAATTAAAGAGAAATTAGGGGAAAAAAAAGCAGCTTAAACAACTTGAATTGAAAGAAGTGTTTAATAAAACAAATAAAGAAATATTGAGAGATTTTTGTAAATTTTGATTCGTGGTCATAAAGGCTTCATTATTGCATGAACAACTGTTTTATATTCTTAATTTCATAATTTACACGTCTCATCTTAATAGATTTAAACTGATGACCTAGAAAAAAAATTCTGAAATCTGGAATTGCCAAAATTTTGAAGTTGCAAATTAAACTGTTAAAAAAGTTAATTTGGACTACTTTACATTCAAATAAAAAGTGCAATCATATTTGGTCTTTTCTCTATTGCTAAAAGCACTCTTTTATTAAGACACTATAATTAAAATTTCATTTGACTAAATCTACTAAGACTAATATATTTATTCAACAAGCAAACTAAATTGCAATTTAAATTAAACGTATTTGCTTTTATTGATTTTTAGTTACATATCTACAGACAGAAAAATTACATCAAATGTCAAAATACACACACACACACACACACACACACACAAAAAAAAAAAAAAAAAAAATCATACCATGAATTTCTAACTTAACTTCTGGACTTGGAGCAGATGCCACACCAGCATCAGAGTAAGCTAAAATTCTAAACGAATATTTTCCACCTTGCTGAAGTTTAGCTAAAATATTAACTAAATTAGTCAATAAGTAATTGAAAACAAAATAGATTAACATATATGAAATTAACATGTGCATAACCATTCTAAAATATATCTGATATTTGATTCATATTTGCATCTAACATTTAAGTATTTTTCTTAATAAAAGAGAACAGATTTCAGAATTCCAATTATTAGTTATAACAGAAAAAGATGTTAATATATCTCTATATATAATAAAAGAAAGAGTCTGTCTGTGTGTGTGTGTCTTTCGTTTGCGCTGAGCGTAAGCTAATAGACCCACGGCTAAGAAATTTGGTACATAGGTGCATCTAGACAAGAGCCAGTGCACCTTGAAGCGATTTTTTCGAAATTCGAATTAGAATTTTTTAAATTTTATGTTTTGTTACAAAATTGCGTCATTTTGAGACAAAATTCGCTATAGGAAAGCGAGATTTAACTCTATACATTCCATTTTCACATCATCATGAAACGTAGGCACTTAGCTATTTTATGAACTTAAAATAAATTTCGTGTTTCAATAAATCAATTAAATATGAATTTATTTAACAAAAGGATCTTAACACCTTTTCAGCGGGATTTTTTCTAAAAAGGTTTATTTTAAAAAATGTACAGTTTATTTTTCTTTGATTTTTGGACACATTAAACTTTCATCCTTGTGACTGCTTTTGCAAAAAGAATTTTGGAAAAATGATAATATTTTGTATTTTAAAAATTTTTTTGGAAATGAAGCTTCTGAGTACACTTCTCACATCTCACATCTTTAGAAATGTGATTTTGGCAACAATTTTCCTTTCTTATTGTTGTTGATAGATTTTTGACGAAATTGCATCATTTTGAATAGTTTCATTCTTTTAGAAATATGGGTTTGGCAACAATTTTTCATCGTATTTCTTATGTCACTGTTTTTAAGAGATTGGCATATTTCATTGTCATTTTTTTTATATATATAAATGCATTTCTATTGATTTTTTTTTTATAAAGTGTTTCGGCAGAGAATTCTACGCGGAATTTTTTGTTTCTTGAGTTTCTTTCATGTTATTTTTTGTTTATTTCACTATTTGTAAGATATTGAAAAGTTTTGCATGATTTTTTTCTTCAACGGTTAATTTTGTTGAAGTTCAACGGTTAATTTTGTTAAGTTGGTTAATTTTTTATTAGGATAATTAATATTTGTGTTAAGGGATATAGCTTATTTCATTGTAATTTTTTTCTCTTGAAAATATAAGATAAAATATCATTAATTATACTTTGCTTTTCAGAATTTTTTGTTTTTTTGTATTCTTTTATGTTATTTATTGCTCCTTTCATTGTCTTTAAGATATTGAAAAGTTTTGAGTGATTTTTTTAGGAAACAAAGTTCTTAACCTACTTTATACCATTTGAGTTCTTAAGATTTTGCAAAGGGAAGTTGGCTAATTTATTTATTAGGATAATTAATATTTGTATTATGGGATATTGCTTATTTCATTGTCATTTTGTTATACGTAATAACTTTTTTATGAAGTTGTTCTGCAGAGAAAATTCTACGGAGTTTTTAAATTGAACGTTTGGTATTCCCTTCAGCCATTTTTCCAATATATTTAAAAGCCAGACGAAGGCTGGCCGCAAAGCTGCTAGTTTAGTAATAAAGAAATGGAAAACATTCATAACACACCTTTTTACTAGTTCAGAAAATGAAATCAAATTGTCAATGAAACTATGCCTTATAATGTAAAAAACAAATAAAAATATGCCTAATATGAATACATTTTATTCAAAACCAGATTTTTATTTTAATTTTATATTAATATGTTAAATTTTTTCAAGCTAAAATTCTACCATTTGACACATTGCTTTATTTCAATCCAGAATTAAAATCTTTTCTTCTAGATAACTAATCGTTTAATTCTCAGATAAAGTGAGTTTTTCTTATAGTTTTGAAAAATGAATCATTGGGACTTATAAGCTTTTGTTTTTACCATTTAAGAAACCATTAAGAAAAAATGAAAAATGACATTATTACCATCAAATACCATCATCATCTTTTTTTAACGACTATTACCATCATCAGCATTACTATCATTAAAATGATTGCACACTTAAAAAAATTTACTTTGTTGAGTAAGGATGAAAAATATATCCCACATACCTTCATAAAATGTTACATCTTTGATAGGCCCCCATCGCTGCCACTGTATATCGTGCTTGTATTCAATTATATAGTGGGATACAGGTACACCATCTGCAGGAGGGTTCCATGTAATACGAACACCAAGGGTTGTTTTGGTTACTGTCACATTTCTTACCATACCTGGTGTAGGTCCAGCTGGAGTTGGAGCTTCTGTAGTTACTGAAAAAGGTTTGATAGCTTAGGACAGAATGCATCATGTGATAAGGTGACATAAAAGAAGAAGAGACTGAAGATTTATATGGACAAGGATGTCTCGTGAGCATAAGCTGAAAATTGTTATTTTTTAACTTACAAATACGTTTTCAATAGTTATTAAAATAGTCTTTATTAAAATAATTAAATCGTTGGCAATGTTAAAAACGTAGGCTCGAGAGCCACGAATTGCTCTCGCATGTAAAATGTATAGAATTTGATTTTTAAAATAGATAGGTTTTTCTCTGCAGAATTGTATGTAGCCATTTTTTTTTGCGTTCAATAAAATTTTTATGCTGTGTTTTGTTTTGATCCTGATGTCACAACCCAGGGTTAGCATAGCGGTTTCGGCCACTACACCACAGCAGTAAATATTAAAAGTTGGCGGCAGCTTTTAGGGATTGTTTCTGAGAGTAAATTTAGGAACGGACTTTTTCACCTGTGAACTTGAGTTTTATGTAAACAGTCAAGACTTTCTTCTCTTCAAGAACGATCTAACTTTGCGTGCAAGGACAGTTCGTGTGGTGAAGCCTCTTCAGTGACAAGTGACAGTGTGTCAGAAGGGAACACCGGAGGAAGCGTGATCTAGTGCCGCAAAATAGTGAAATTTCCCGGAAGAATATCCAAGTAGTGCCAGGAGAGTCAATCGAAGGCATCTTCAAAATTGGTGAGTTCAAATTTGGAGAGGTTATGCCAGTTATTCGAGACTAGGCTTATTTTGGATATAGAGCAGGAAAAGGTTGCCTCTTAATTAGCATTTTTTTATATACGTTTTGTTTGTGGGCATAGGTATTATCATTAAGTGTGGTAAGGCAATTTGTGTTCAGAATTGTTAGGGAATTATTCAATTTTGGAGAGATAGATCTGCTGTTGTTTTTGTGTTATTGTTTTTCGGGGTAGGTTATTTTTCTTTAATTTTCCATAATGGGTGAGTTTATGAGGAAATTTACTAAAGCTCTGCTATTGGAGTTAGCGGAGGAGTTTGAAACAAATGTGTCTCAGGCAAATAGAGTAAGAGAAATTAGGCAGGCTATTCTAAATGCCGAGGACTATGAAGAAGAAGCTGCGAAAGAATACGCGGCAAGAATTTGGGCTGCGGCTGAGCAGAGAAAAGCAGAAGAAAAGCCGAGCAGAGAGAGCGAGCAGAAGAGAGAGCGGGAACGTGAACAAGAGAGAGCAGAATGGGAACGTGAACAAGAGAGAGCAGAACGAGAACATGAACAAGAGAGAGCAGAACGGGAATGGGAGCGAGTTTTTGAATTGGAAAGGTTAAAACTGATGAATGTGGTTCAGACTAATAGCCTAGCTTCCACGGTTTCGAAAGTTGAACAATCTAGAGAAAAAAAGGTTAATTTGAAAGATATAGTACCACGTTTTCAACCGAGTAATATAGGTATTTCATTATTCTTTATGCTATTTGAGAAACAAGCTCAAAAAGAGAACGTTAATGAGATTGATTGGGTCTCGCTATTAATTCCTTTATTACCTTACCTACGATGTAGCCCAGTTAATAGTGAAAGAACCAGCGGATAAAGGGGATGATTATCAGCATGTTAAGAAATTACTCATGCAGAGATTCAAGCTTAGTTCTTGGGCACTAAAAACAAAATTTGAAGAACATTCTAGAAAAAAACGGAATGTTATGGGTGGATTTAGTGTATGAATTGAGAGTGTATTTAGAGAATTGGTTGGATTCAGTAGAAGTTCAAGATTTTGAAAGTCTTAAGGAACTTATGCTCACTGAGCAAATTAAGCGGCGAGTCCCTCTAGAAATAAGAGAGCACTACTTAGACAATTGGGAAGAATTTAAAACAGCTTCCATTTTAGCAGAGAAATACGACAAGTATGAGGCTTTGCGAAGAGATACGAGGAAGTTAGAACAGAGAGCGGGGTTAAAGAAACCATTTGAGAAAGATAGAGAGCGGTATGTAAATTCTAACTGTAGTTATAATCAGAAAAGTAGTGGCCATCAAAGAATTAAATCAGAGGAGCATAGAAAAGTGGAGGCTCCTAAAAAAAAGCAAGTTTTCAATGAAGCAGGTTTCGAGAAACAGCAGAAAATAAGGTGTTACCAATGTGGAAAGGACGGACATATCCGACCTAACTGTCCTTCGCTGGAAAAGAATAAGGCTAATCTAGTGAATAATCTAGGAACGGAAAGTTTAGGAAAATGTTTTGAGCCGTATTTCAAGAAAGCAGTAATTAATGGGATAGAGAGAGAATATCTGAGAGATACTGGAGCTGGTATAGATCTGTGTAATAGTACTTGGATTAATACTAATGACTTATTAGGGGAAACTGTATGGGTGAAACAGCCTTTGGACACAGAATGTAAATGTTTACCTTTGGCGAAAGTCACCATTGAAGGTGATTTTGGTGTGGTGACCACAAAGGCAGCGGTTACTCCGGTAGAGTTAGATAAAGAGTACTATTTTGTTAGGGAATAAAACTGCACAGTTGATTGAGGAAATTAGGGAACAACCGGTTCTTCTGAATGTTTTGGAGACTCATAGTCAGACGCATGCGCGCAGGAGTTTAGAGAGAGCGAGTGCAAAAGACTTAGATTCCAGATTGGAAGAAAAGAAAGAGATAGAAAATGAAAGGGCCGTCAATAATGAGCATTCGGAAGAAAGGAATTTAACCAGTAATACGGAGGAGGCAATTAAAATTGCAGACATCAGTTTAGAAGAAAGGTCTATCTTTGCGGATGTTTCGCCAGCAGAATTCTTGGAAGCACAAAAAACTTGCGCTAGTTTAGCGACCCTGTGGAAGAAAGGGGAAAGTGAAAATGAAAAAGAGTTTATAATAGTCAAGGAAAGACTATTCAGAGTGGCAAGTTCTAAAAAAGGGGAAGATAAGCGTCAGCTGTGTGTGTCTCTCGTTTAGGAAAGGGATCTTGAAGTTATGCCACGAGTAAATCTCTGGTCATTTAGGGGTAACAAAAACCAAGGATAGAGTTTTGACACACTATTTCTGGCCTAATTGCTACCAGGAAATTGAAGAATTTGTGAGGACGTGCGATATTTGTCAGCGTGTAGGTCACAATGAGGATAAAAAGAAAGCCCCTATGAAGATTGTGTCTGTTATATCAGAAGTATTTAGCAGATTAAATATTGATGCAGTAGGACCTCTGATCCCTAGTTCGTGTGAAAATAAATACTTAATTACGTCTATTTGTGTTGCTTCCAAATATCCAGATGCCATTCCTGTACAGAATTTAAACTCTAAATGTGTGATTCAAGCCTTGATACAAATCTTTTCTAGATCAGGTTACCCTAAGGAAATTCAGTGTGATTTGGGTAAATCGTTTACCAGTGAACTTACATCTGAGTTTTTTTAGCAAGTTCGGAATTAAAGTGTATCATTCTTCTGTGTGTCACCCTCAAAGCAATTCTGTTGAAAGGTTGCATTCCACCTTGAAAAGGGTATCGAAGGCTTTGTGCTTGGAAAGCGGGAAGGACTGGGAAGAATGTTTGCCATGTGCTCTGTTCGCCCTCAGAACTGTTAGCCATGAGAGCACAGGTTTTAGTCCCTGCGAGTTAGTACATGGAAAAAATTTGAGAATGCCTCAAACGATTGTGTATGAAAACTGGCTAGAGGAAGAAAGTTCAGACCCCACTGTGGTCGAGTATGTTCTAGACTTAATAAACAGATTAAAGAAGTGTCAGGAGCTGGCTGTAGAGAGGATGAAAGAGTGTCAGAGTAAAAGGAAAACTCTGGTATGATCGCAACGCTGTTACGAGAAGGTTTAAGGTCGGAGATCTCGTGCTTGTTTTAGCCACGTCTAAACCACACAAAATGGCTCTGAACTGGATAGAGCCAGGTAAAGTAACTAGTGTGATTTCCGAAACCAATTATACGGTAGAGATTCCGGGTAAGCGTAGCAGTGACACCATTTATCACGTAAATTTGATGAAACCTTATTATCAGCGCCCCGAGTTTGTGAATCTTGTGATGGAGGAGGTCATGGAAGATATTGAGGGAGAAGTGGGATATTCCTTATCCCTTGGCTGATCCAACTCAGGTAGATTTTTGGAAAATAGTTGGAGATAGTAAGCTAGAAGAAAGAGCTTCGGCAGAGGAAATAGGAAATTCCAAGAAGTTATAAGGAAGTACGGAGCGGTGTTTTCGTCCGACCCCGGCTGTACGTTTTTGTTTGAAATGGATATTAAATTGTTGGATGAGACTCCGGTTAGAGTCAGGCCTTACCGAATGTCGGCGAGACAAACCGACATCCTAAAAGAAGAAATTAGGCATTGCTTGAGTTAGAAGTCATAGAAGTCGGGCAATCTGATTATGCTTCGCCTATGATCTTAGTAGAGGTCCCAGGTAAAGATCCTCGTCCTTGTATAGACTACAGAAAATTAAATTCAAAAACTATGACCGAATTTTTCCCTCTTCCCAATATTGAAGAAGTGGTAGAAAAAGTCAGCGCAGCTCCATTTATCACAATCATGGATCTAACCAAAGGATACTTCCAGATACCACTCACAGAGCGTGCACGGAGGTATGCCGCATTTGTGACACCTTTTGGATCTTTCATCCCGAAGAAAATGATGTTTGGGCTTTTAAATGCGCCTTTCTACTTTTGTAAATTGATCGCTCAAGTTTTAGGAGGGCTGGACAATTTTGTTCTACCGTATATTGACGACATTGCAGTCTTTTCGCCGACTTGGGACAGGCATATGAAGGATTTGGATGTGGTTTTAGGTCGCCTTCAGGAGGCTAAATTGACTGTTAAGCCCTCGAAATGCAAATTCGCACAAGACCATGTGAAATTTCTGGTTCATGAAGTAGGATCTGGGAAAAGGTCGCCTAGTGAGGCCAAGATTCAAGCAATCAGAGATTTTACGATCCCCACTACTAAAACACAGATACGTAGCTACCTTGGTACTGTGGGCTACTATGCAAGGTACATAAAAGACTACGCCAGTATTGCGGCACCTTTGACAGACGCTTTGAAGGGCAAAAACAAAAAAGAAAAAGTGATTTGGACAAAAGAGTGCGACGAGGCTTTCAATAAACTGAAGACCAAACTAGTAAAAAGTCCGGTTTTATTTGCACCAGATTATTCTAAAGAATTTATTGTGCAGACAGATGCCAGCTTATATGGTGCGGGTATTGTGTTGTCTCAAATTCAGGATGGGGAGGAACACCCTATACTGTATCTTAGCAAAAAGGTTTACTAAAGCGGAGCGAAATTATAGCACCATTGAAAGAGAACTAGCGGCCATTATTTATGGATTGAAGAAACTAAGTCATTACTTAGACGGACAAAAATTCAAGATCCAGACGGATCATAATCCGTTGACTTTTTTAAACAAAATGATGGGATCAAATTCTCGTTTGACTCGCTGGGCATTGTGTCTCCAACAGTATAACTTTGAAATTGTTCATAGGCCAGGCAAATTACACGGTAATGCAGATGGCTTGAGTCGTGCCCTAGTCCAGTGACTGAATATCACTAGTGGATATAAAGTAAGGTAAAAAAGTAATGAAAATGGGTGAAAATGATTTTTGTAGAGTTTTGGAATTATATTTGTGTAGATTCTAAATTGTTTTGCATTGTGTGTTTCATTTTCAAAAAAAAATTGTTAGAATTAAAATTTTATTAAGTATTAGCATTTTGTAAATTTGAAAAGGTACTTTGTGTAGATTCAAAGTTTAAATCTTTTTGTTGTATTTTTGCATTTTTGGTTATCTAAAAATAAGTGCAGGGTAATGTAACTGGCTTCTCTATTATCACTTAAATGGTTACCACTTGTGTTTTGAAAGCAGTGAAATGTATTTAGAATTTTTCCTTCCATAGTCAAGAAAAATTTCTTTATGAGGGGAGGAGCTGTGATAAGGTGACATAAAAGAAGAAGAGACTGAAGATTTATATGGACAAGGATGTCTCGTGAGCATAAGCTGAAAATTATTATTTTTTTTAAACTTACAAATACGTTTTCAATAGTTATTAAAATAGTCTTTATTAAAATAATTAAATCGTTGGCAATGTTAAAAACGCAAGCTCGAGAGCCACGAATTGCTCTCGCACGTAAAATGTATAGAATTTGATTTTTAAATAGATAGGTTTTTCTATGCAGAATTGTATGCAGCCATTTTTTTTTTTTTTTTTTGCATTCAATAAAAATTTTATGCTGTGTTTTGTTTTGATCCTGATGTCACAACCCAGGGTTAGCATAGCGGTTTCGGCCACTACACCACAATCAAGAAATTTAAATACAGTGAAAATCATTTAACATGAAACTGAGGGGACTGAAATATTTTTCATGTTAAAAGAATTTCGTGTTAAAGGATATTGGGAAGGGGGAACATATATTCAACAAAATTAAGTTTATTAGAGTACATTTGTTTACACAGATATGTATATATGCACGTATTTAATAAAAATCAATGAAACAACAACATCCACAAGCATTTAATGAAAATTAATTCAAAATTTTTCAAGCTCAAGAAAAACAAAACATTTATTGAGTTTTGGGAAAAAATTCTTTTTTAGCATCAAATTGTTCAATGTCACCCATTTTGTTATTCATTTCATCACTGGAATGTGCGTCTAAATAACTGCCCATACTTTTCATGATGCTCTTCATTTTGGATGACATGGAAACAGGAGCTGCATCATTCATTTTATTTTCGTCGTCGGAATCTGCATCAGTGATATTTTTTTAGCTTTGAATAAACTCCAAAATGTATTTGTCTGCCATAATTGGGGCTGCATACATATTATCATCAACTACTGCAATGGATTCTTCCGATAATACAGTAGAACAGTCCAATAATACAGAAACTTTCTCAAACAATTTCATTAACTGTCGGCTCAGTTTCAATATCCTTATTCCCCATTGCTTTTGGCGCCAAAGAATCTGATACTTTTGAGAATTGTGAATGTCGAAAATAATTTTTATTCATCCTTGGAGTCACTGAATTCCATGCAGAGTGCAACATATAAAGAGACAGAGACAATGCAGAGTGCAACATATGAACCAAACTCATAGATTTTTACTCACACTGCAATGTACTCATCACCGAATTCCAAAGCCAACTGATGAGAGATGAGAAGTTTGTATGGCGTTTGTAGGGGTGGAAGGTGAAAGTAGCTTAGATAAACAAAAGTGGCTCGTGTCGCAAAATATTTTAAAGCAAAGTTAGCCTTCTATGAAACATGTGAAACCATCCCTCTTTCATTTCACACCTCTCTTAAATCTCATCTGCGAAGCTAGTTTTTCCGTATTTTGTTCAATCCCACAGAGGATATCTTTTCGTGTTAAGAGAAACAAAATTCATGAAAATATATAGTAGTTTGTTGGGACCGTCGTATTATTTCGTGTTAACCAATATTTTGTCTTAAGTGTTTTCACGTTAAACATATTTCACTGCACTTTTTTAAATTAGCATAGTTAAATGTTTAATTTGATGCAAAAGTTAAACAAGCTGAAAAATTAGCTGATATTAAAAGAATAGGTAACAATTCTCAACAGTCTGCAAACATAGAAATCTAATATAATAAGTGGGAACCTATTTATATTACATGTCCTTTGTCAGAAAGCATATGTTTGCTTTTCATTACTAGCTTCTTTCAGTGATAAAGTCAAAACATACATTTCTACATTTTAAATGAATTGTTTAAATATTATATATGCTAAGAATATTTTTATGAAGGATAGAAAACACATCTTTTATTCAGCATTGCAGGTTTTATTCTTGTGACAAGATTGTTTGACTAATTATTTATTATTAACTGCAGATTTAGGTTTGAAATAAATCACATTATTTTCTTTCTATTTAATTATGGAAGGGAGGACATGAAATTTGCAGTCTCAGACTTCTGATTACAGTCTAACACCTTGAAAAAGAGTTTACCATTAAAAATTTAAAAAAATCATCATATTCTATAAGTCCAGGGATTACAATGTATCTCTATATAACAGAGCAGAACTTTGTTAAAATAATATTATTAAAATGCAAAATAATTTTCATTAATATGAGGAAAAGATATATTAGATTAGAATTATTGTTTAATTTTATTTTTGATTTAAAATTATTTACATTATTCAGTTTTTAAAAATATGTAAAAATAAATTATGCAACTATAAGGCATTTTTTTAAATCTTATTTGCCTATGCCACTCTAAAGTGATTGCTATTGAATTGGTATCTATTATTTCAATTCAGCCGCCCAACTGGTATAGTGGTTAGCGTTGCTGACTGCCGTGCCGAAGGGCCCGTGTTCAAATCCCAGAGAAGGCATAGATGTTTGTAGATGTATAGTGTCAGTGCGGTATGGCGGCACTCCAAATATGCAGCGAGCCGAAAGTCCTCTCATGTGGTTTGGTGGAAGGGGAGAGGGGTGTGAGGCTCTCGTCCCCATCCCCCTTGGGATGGTCTTCATCAAAATTGGGGGCGGAATTGAGCTAAATCGCACTGTCACCTCAATGGTGCTCAAGGCTGTGGCCAACGACAGACATAATCTTGCGCTTCTTGCCACGATGTATTTCGTGGGCTTGGGCTGTCTATGTTAGACAAGTGAGCATAAGTAACCACAACAACAAATTTTGAAAAATAATAATTACATATACACATATTTGGTACAAATTTATGAAATAGCTTGTGATATTTTTGAATGATATTTTGAACTGCTTGCGAAATGCAATATATTTTTAATTAGTTTTTACATTGTTAAAAATTTGTTACATTCCTATATTATATTTTACAAGTTAAAAATTTACAAGTACATTAGCATTTAAAGAGTTATCCTGATGAAATAAAAGATTAAGAAGGAAGAAAAAGAAGTGAAAATGTAGATGGAAATTACCAGGGCCGGAGTTGCCAGAAGATTTTTCTCCTATCGAAGTAAATGTAACACCAACAGTTTCCGTAGAAGAAATACTGCCACCAACATAGTCAGCAGCTGAAAGTTTATTTAGAAGCAACAGAGTCAAGAAGATGAAAGCAGTTAAAATGTCCATGCAAATTATATCATACAGTGCTTGAAAAAGAGAAGAAAGTAAAGAAAGTGATTCTTACGGACATAATTAATAATGCCTGAAACTAACAATAGATTTATTATATTTTACCTGAGACATTATTAAAAATAAATATATTAATAATGTCTCAGGTAAGATATAATAAATATATCACCAAGCACTGTGAACAGAAATATTTTATACCAAGTTAAACGAGATATGACATTAGATACTTCTTTTAGTCAGAACAACTACGGTAAAATATTAAGAAAAATTACAACTGAATACATAAAAATACATGAATTAGAGTTATTTGAGATATTATTACAAGAAAAACATAGGTAATAAAATATAGACAAAATAAAGACATTAATTATTAAAAAATATGCATATTACTTTTGAATTGCTTAGTTAGCTAAGTACTAATATATTGTTTTGAAGAAATGGAATATCAAATGGCAACAGTTTTGAGAACTGATTATTTGTCAGGCTATATGGATTACAAATGTCTTAGCACTAAGATTAAAGTCATATTGCTAAGTTATTTGTCCTTCAAATGGCCTGACAATGTAATTAAAACATAACAGGAGGAAAAAATTACATACTTAAAACTTCAGATGACAATTTGAAAACCTCAAAGAGTTTACTTTTAAAGAAGTTAAGAAGAAAAAAAAAAAAAAAAAAAGTGAAAAATCATAAGGTTAAAAAGAAACTGCAATTTGAACTTAGCATTCAGTTTTCTGTTAAATACTGATATAGTTAAGCTAGTGTTTGTAGCAGGTGTAGTTTAAGTACTGGTCCCCAGAAATGAAAGATATAGAACTTAAACTCTAATGTTTAAAATGAGCTATTCAAAATGGCAAAACCAAACATTTGAGGTAATAAATACAGCTATACATTTATTTCAATGGATTGCTTTGTGCATGAAGCTCACTAGAAATATTTACCTCAACTGACAACACTTTTTATTCTGACAGCAATAAATACTTATTTCAAAATATTAAAAAATAAGCTACAGATATTCTGCACCAAAAAATGTTAAAAGTTAATCCAAATTAGCTAAAACTGCAATCATTTATGCAAGTTCAATCATATAAACTTTCCAAAAGTAACGATTGTTTTTACATTTTATAATATCCATGTTTAATTTTATATGCATGCACACATACAGACTGATGAGACCATATCTTTTTATAAATAAATGAAAACTGTGAAACTTACATTGACGTATATTATTTGAAATATAATCCTCATGCACAAATACAAGCAATAGCACAATTAGATAACAAAATAAAAGATTTTCACAGAATTTGATTTTGGTATGGCTCTAAGAAGAGATTTCAAAATTAATTGAATCTCTTCATAGCCAGGGGGGAAAAAAGAATAGAGATGTTTAAATACACAGTGTAAGTGTGTTGTGTGTAATACATAACATTTGGATTTATTGCATTTCAGTTAATGATGTAAAATGGCACATTAAAAAAGATTCTTAATTCTCAGTAATAAAAATAATTTATTTGGTCAGGTGATAAATGACTTTTCAAAATGAAATGTTATTTCAATCTAGTGTATTTACAGGAGAGGGGGGGGACTAAAAAATTTAATCTCATTATTTAATTGCTATAATAAGCAAGTAAAAGTTGCTATAACAGTAATTAAATAATGTGTATATTATAATGTTATTGTATATATGCCATTCTTATTTTTAAAATATTTCTTAACAGCATACATGTTGCTAGATCTAATAGCTTCATCGATATGATTTATTCTTGAAAGTGAATTCTCAACTAATACTTCACTATAAGTTGTATATGTTAATGAACTGTTCTAAAAATATTACATTAAAAAACCTTAATATAAACTCATATACACTGTAACCAATTTTAATTCCTAAAAAATGAAAATTTTTAAATATTACTTTGTGTATGTTTTCAAAGCAAACAACATCTGTACATTATTGTGTTGAAAATAAATAACCTAATTATACTTGCAATTAAAACTAAAAACCTTAGTATACTTATAATTAGAATACTTTTATTTATATTCAGACTCTAAAATTATACTTTGTGCTGAAAATAAATTATATTTGGTATACTTTTAGTCAGAATCACGAATTTTCTCTATCTCTAACAGTAGATGGTTGTAGATCCAAAACGAGTTTTTTAGATACCAAGATTATTGAAAGAGATAATAAATTTAAACCTATAATGAAGTCTTTAAGTGTCACTCTAAAATGTTAAACATATTAAAAAAACAACTTTAGTGGCTTATTATTTCCTTGGAAACTCTTCAACCTTATGCTAGAATAAAAAATTCATACATTTTATAATGAAGATAACTCAGTGATTATGAGTATACATTTACAAGAAAATATTTAAGTTTAAAACTTTTCATTCTAGTATTCTAATTTTTGCTCAAGGTCACTTAAATTTTGTGTTATATTTCAAATAGTATACAGAAGCTCCATGACTATATTAATAGTAATATAATACAAATTAATTTTAATTATAATTAATTATTATATTTTATACAGTATGCACAAAAACTAAGAAAAACATTTCCTCACATAAAATAAATTTTAATATGCTTTATGATTATCAGTTGATTGTAAGGAAAGCAGCTTACATTTCGTTTTCGCCCTTATAATTGGACTAAACATTCCATCACCCAACTTATTCCTAGAAAGCACTTGAAAGTCATATTCAGTATCAGCTTGTAAATTATACACTGTAAAAGTAGTTGCTCCATCAGGATACACTCGTATAGTTCGCCAATCACTATCACCTTGATCAGCAAGCCTGTACCTACGAAAAAATTACAATGTAGTTATTAATGACTACAGAGAAGAGAAGATTATCGGCACAAAAATAACTTCCGACTTTGGATTTAAAACTAAACTAAAAAACTCATTGTAAAGCCATTATTATTATTTTTTTTAAATGAGCAAACAACATCTTTCATATAGAAACCAGCAAATATGTTTTTAAACAAAAAGAAAAAACAAATAAAATAAAAACGAATATTTTCTTCAGAGCACATTTTTTCTGTGCTTTTGTTTTCTCTTCTTTTTTAAAAGAGCAAGTTTAATATCAAAGTATTCATCATCTGCTTCAATTAAATGAACACAAATTCTGAAGAGAACAACCACTCAAAAACTGTGAGCTATGTTTGTCTTTCCAGTACCAAAAATTATAATTCTATATTTCTTCTTAAAAGTTTGAGAACATCAGAATTCAGGAACCAACTTGACAAAAGTCTTAAAAATTAAAATCATAGCAATAAGACTGACAATCAAAAACTTTCAGTGCTCCTTAAAATGAATAGTGTAAAGAACCTAATAAAATCAAAATCATCAATGAATAATAATTGAAAGCTAAAATAACAAATGGTAGAGCATTCTTACAAAATGCATAATGTTTATTTTACAAATGGTTAATTGAAAGTTTAGTGTAACTAGGTATAAAATTTAATCAAGAATTTAAAACACCACTACCATTTCAGATTCAAATTATTTCAATTTCCAATGGAAGACTTTTGAATCTTATACTGGAAAGTACTGTTGTATGGTTCACAAAGATAATAAAAGCATAACAGATTAAAAAAAAAAATAAACAAAATTATCGTTAATTTACCATAATTCATACCAAATTTTGTAGAAAGATAAGCAGATTTATAGATTATGGAAGTATATGCATTGTTGCCATTCCATGAACATGGTATCTACTTTATTAAAAAAAACTGTAGATTATTAGAGTAATAAGAAATCTGATTCATATGCAGTTTAAATAACAGCATATTTTAAAATGAAACATTTCTTTTTCATTATTATTCTTTCAGTTTAATTATGCTAATTAGGTATAATAATTTTAATATAACTTTGAATAGTAATAATATAAATCAAAACTTGTAACAACTGATCCCAAATAAAATACAATATATATATATATATATATATATAGATATATAACAAAAGTTATTGTTGGCATGCTAAAAATATTTTTTTTTAAACTTATATCTACAATGCTGGCTTATTATTCATCAGCCATGGAACCTATGATACAAAATCAGCTCCTTCACATAATCTAAAAACATTTCATTCTTTTCAGATACCGTATTTCATTGTGTATTTCCCCTAGCTTTTTCGTATCAGGTTCTGAAAACATTTAAATAATATTTCCATAATTTTTCCCTTTCTCAGGGCATTTAAAGAATAAATTTCCCTAAATTTTAAAATAGATTCAGCTATATAGTGATTGTTTCAATCTTACTGACAAAGACAAACCTTCACAATCTACCTGCGAAGCTCACGCCAAACCTTTTCCTTTTAACTAATGAAATTTATGCTACCTGAATACAACTACAGACCAGACACAGCAAAGCAAATGTGAACTGATGTTTCTGTCTACTGTTTTTCTGTGTTAGCTGCACATTCACTTCCTCTAATAATTTATGGATGTTTTGAGGCCTAAGGAGGACCAGAGACAACAATAAGAATGGGCAAAATTAAAGTCAAAGGAAAGTGGACATGAAGATATTTTATTAGATTTATTAATTTACTATGTATTTTTATTTTGGAATGTAGATTTTTTTTTAAAGAAATAATATTGTGTTAGTTACTTGTAGTTTATCCATGACTATTTTTCATTTGTTATGTTGTTACTTTAACTACACCTTTCAGAAATAAAATTATTTCCATAATTTTCCTCTCTCAATTTTCAAATGATAAAATTAGTTAAAAAAGGGGAGGAGGAGAAATATGCAAAGAAATAGGTTAATTCAGCCAGATTCATACTCCATTTTGTAGTCTATCCATTCTCTATTCATGTTCTATTCATTTGATGCATTTACATTTTTCTAAATATATCAGCAGTCCATGAACATCAAGTGATATATTACTTTTAAATATGATGAAATACACTGATCTGTAAAAGGTGAGACATGTTTCCATCAATTTTATCAAATACAAAAAATTATTGAATTTTTATCTGAATCTCTGGGTAATCACTCATAGAAAACATTTCTATTTATTTTATTTTTTTTTCAAACATTAAAAATCTGCATTAAAATTTGTGAATCAATTGCCATTGTCAAATTGCTTGCATAAATTTATTAGTGGAAAAAAGAAATTACAGGTTTGAAAAACACATTTGATCCTGAATTTTAAAATCATGATCCATATGATGCAACTACTATTGTAGACAGTATACAAAAAATCTACTTTTTGTTTTGTTGGACAGTCAGTTACCATTTGAACAGAACAATATGACTTAAAAAAGAAATACCAGTGGATATAAAGTAAAATTTAAAATATTCAGTAATTTTCTTGTCACAATGATGAAATTAATGGATGTTTGTTATGCAATATTTACAAAATTCTAAAAGAATTATTATTACACTAAGGAAATATTTGTTATAATATGTATATGCACATTTCTAAAGCATGGATCACAGATGCAGTAAATTTAATTAAAAACATTATAGTTCATTTCCCATAAGAACTTTCATTTGCAAAAGAAAGGAGATTTTTATATCTGATTACAGAAGCTGAGTGTTTCATAATACACAAAGACAATGTGGAGTACAAATGTGGCTAAAATGAAAGCAATCAAGCCGCTTCTTCACCCAAAATTATTGCATGATAATTAATTTACAGTTTTATTTATTACAGGACTTTCCATCTTTAAATGCATCATACAGTAGTATCAAAATACAGTAAACAGTTTTACTGCACTATAATTACACAATTGCTTTCAAAATTTGAGCATAAATTCAAGTATTTTTAGACATAATGATACTGATCAATCCAACAGACCGATTATTTATGGGACTCTTTGATCAAATTTCAAGGAAGCCAGAGAGATCAGCCATGTATCTATCATTACATATCAACCTCATTTACCTTACTAGACTTTCTGTGACTTAGTTTGTAGACTTCTTAACCTTTTGATGATCATCAACGAGCCCAGCTCCCATTTTAATTATGCCCGCAGTGGGTGCAAACAAACACAAATGAACATGGAAAAGATTTACAGTACATTATTTATGCTTACGTCTCTTTAAAAATTACTTTTAATATATCATACAGTATTCCATGTAATTAATTCTGGAAATAATTTATTGTTTCCATGCATTCTTGCAAAGCTTGGCAGCCTTTGGATCATTAAATTATGCTACAAGCTGCTTTAAACAAGATTGCTTTAATTGCAGTCAGCCATAAAACTCCATGTAGCTATCAGGGATAAAGCTTTAGAACACAAAAGTAAAATAAAAAAAATAATGCTCTCTTTAATTTAAAATTAAACTAATTTGACTTTTTTTTTATTAAGACTGGAATTGTATCCAAATTCTTAAATATTCATAAATTGTAAACAAATTAAATATGAAATATTTTCCAAATGTTTATACCAAATGACATAAGTCTGTTCATGTCCTCCATCATATGCAGGTAACCAAGTTAATGTAGCAGCAACTGTACTAGTATTTACAGTAACATTCGTTGGAGCATGTGGAGTAGTTCCTAAAAAAAAAAAAAAAAAAAAAAAAAAAAAGAATCTTATTTTTATGCAGGTATTGAGAAATATCACTGGAATAAATAATTTAAATCTTATTAATTAAAATAAGTTCTTTTTCTAAGCGCAAAGCTTTTAAATCAATGTAAAAAATTTTAATATGAAAACTGACTTTAAAAAAAAAAATCAGCTACAGAAAAGCTTTAAATAACTATTAATATTTTATTTTTAATAGTTTAAACATTCTAAGGCTCTCCTCTAACATCAGTACAATTTTACGTTTTAACCGATGAGGAAAAATGAGGTTTATTAAATGATTTTTTACTTCTGAAAGTATTATATAAACTGAATCTTGCACAAAGAATTATGTATAGTAAATTTTGATCAGCCCCAAACTGAAGAATGTTGCGTAATTAGAAACTTACAATTAGCAAGATTTTGACCAAATTTTGCTTAATATACCCAGTGTTATAAAAGAAACTTATGCAGTATAAGGGGATATTTATCATACAAAATTACCCACTATCTCATATACACAATGGTTTTCAGATAACTTAAGACAAAGGGGAAAAAATAGTCATGAAAATTTGAGTTAGATTATCAGAGTTTCTGGTTACTAATATTTTATTAGTGATTTACCTTAACTATAGTGGTAATTTATTAAATTAAATTCAAAACTAAAATAAATAGGAAAAAGTTCCCAGTAATTGAAAGCTCAAGTCAGTAGGACTTTTGGTAAAGCTGCACGTAAAATATAGCTAGAATTCTATGAGATATATGTATAATAACATTTAACAAAGCAAGACATAGATTATTATTTCTATATTGAAATATATATATTGAAAATTATTTCTATATATTAGAAATGCTGGTAATTTAAAATCAAGAAATTAGTATTTTATTTATACATTTACATTAGAAAAAATACTACATAAAATGATATTAGCATGAAACCTTGTACTAGTTCTGTTGAAGAATTAGTTGTCACATACTCACTGGAAAATGGTAATGAAAGTTAAACAATATACTTTTTTTCCCTCTTTATACTTTAAACATTTATTACATGAAAATGTTGATGTCAACAGCATGATAAAAATGATATTTTAAAGATGTCATCTTTTAATTCAATCTTTCCTTTGAAAATGCATCTATTTTAAAATTTAAAATGCAAATGTAGTATGTTATAAAAGCAAAATTTTGCTTCATTCCAAATAAAAATATAGATTACAGTATCCTTTAAAATGCTTTTTAAAATACTCATAAGACTAAAAATGCAGTTACTTGTATGGAGAACTGAATTATTTTGGAAAACTATCAGAATGCAAGTCGACTCTCATTTTAACATTCTTCAAAGGTAATATGAGATAAGAACTTCATAATTTGAGATAATAGTACTTAACTTCAGCTTATTAAGAAGAGATTGCAAAGAAAACAATTTTTGTATCATTCTAAAAAATATCAACTTAATGAAATATTTTAAACTAAATAAATTTGACTTACTGTGAAAATCACTTTTAAACAAATTTCGCCTGCTAGAGTGAGTTTAAATTATCAAAAATATTCAATTTTTAAAGTAATCAAGGCTCTAATATAATACAGAATTTATATCAAAAGTTCTAGAGTAGCATAGGGACTTATATGAACATTAAATCCAACATTAAAATAGATACTGTAGTCTAAGAAGTATATCCATATTTCATCAAACTTGTATTGAACTGTAGAAACCACACGTATGGGTAGATTAAAAAACTAATACTTGGCCGTGTTACATAAAGATTTATGCAACAATGGACCTAAGATAACATTTTAAACAAGTAACACATACTGTATATATATATATATAATATATATAATATATATATTATATAGAAAACCTTTCACATACAAATTACTTCTAGAAATGACCAGTATTTCTTAAAACATAAACAAACATCAGCATCAAATATCACTTATCTAAGTGACCATACAGATGACCAAAATTCTTTGGAAGTGCATGCAGTTGTCTTAGAGTGGTTTCTCTCTCTAGCTGGATTCACTGGCTGTTGACTTTTATTAAAAAAACTTTGATTCTCTATTTATACTTTATGTTACAAAGTTACTTTAAAAAAATGCAGAATTATGTTAAAAAGTCTTAACACAGTAGCTGAAGAGGTTTCTGCAAAAATAATATCCGATTTTATATGGCCCTCAAAGTAAAAATTCTGATTAGTAAATTCTTCCCTATTTTTTAATTAATTAAAAAGAAAATGATCCATTACACCTTTGTGTGCAAAATCAGTGGAGGTATTCAAGAATGAATCTTGATTTGCTCATTTTGATGATCATTGCTTCCATCTAATATAAAGTAGTATGTATTTTCTAAATTTGTAACTGGCTGTTTTGATTTTTACCAAAAAAAATTAAGTGCATTAGTGCAAATTATGCACATACAGATGTGAAATCTGCAATTCAAATAAACAAACTGCTGGAAAAAAGTGTTAATAACTTGATAGTGTTACTGATTATTCCATATTTTTGTTTGATGGTATCTCATATCCAAACATTTTGTAATCTCTATTATCCACACATTTTGTAATAAACTAGGGCTTCTGCGCTAGTTTATTAGGAACTGCTCTTATATACGCCCTCACTTGGTGACAAATTTCTCGTCAAATATTTTTGGCAAGAAACTTCATGGTGCCATAATGAACATAACATTCTATGAAATAAAAACAATAAAATAAAATGCACTTACCATAATGGATGCTCCTTCGGACAACAGAACGTAGCTTTAACATGCCACCACATACTCTCTATGGTATTTATATGACAGCCAGACTCGCTATCCACAAAATTCATACTATGGTTCACAAATAAATGTTCAAACCTTCTTTTCCTAAATCCTTGTAAGATTTCCAGCCATCCAAAAAAACAGTTATACAAGGTCCAATCCACTCTTTAATACACTGCATCAGCGTTTCCTTACTTCTATCATGCACAGGCACTAAAAATAATCTCCGAGACCATCTTGCAACCACGTCTCTCATTGCAACATAGGCCTATTTCAAAACACGCACGACGTGAACCAACGAGCAATTGAAACACTCGAGCAAAAGAGTTTTCAACATCAAAAGGGTTGGCATACAACATGCAATCGTGCCAAAAACTAGTGCAGAACACATATCGCCACATTTGGTGATCTTAGGGCGCATATAAGAGTAGAGCCGTTTATTACAATTACTTTAATGTTTGCCACCCCGAAGAAACATAGCTTCACATCTTTCTGCAGCTTTGCTTGGCTTGCATTTATAATTATAAAAAATGCTCAGTAGACTGCTGCAAAGAACCTATTAATAACAATTCAGATCACTTTGTACTGAACTTGTACTACTTAAAAAACTGTGTTTTTTTTTTTCAAAACATTTAAAACATACAAATTCAGAACACTAAGCAAATATAAGCAAATGTTGGATGATTTTCAAACTGTAATTATTGAAATAATATTATAGTAAAAATTAATTGTATTCATTTTCTATCCCATTATATTTATTCACCCATCTTAGATCATCATATGTTGATCAAACCAAATATTCAATTTTGAATAAAAACAACAAAAATGTATTAACACTTTAAAAGTTACTTGAAAGCTGTAAAAATACTGGAAGCTTGAGTTGATAAATTAGTTTTCCAACAACAGAATATTTTTTAGGATGCCACATGAAAATGATTTTATAAATTTAAATTATACTATAACCTATAGATGTTCTTGTATGAAGAAAATGTCAATTTATTTTTTTAAAGGAAAAATAAAACTATGCATTTGACGACAATGATTTCAAAAATGTGCATGATAGCACAGCAGAAAAACAGACAGATGCTTGTTTGCAGAAAGCTAGACAATGTCCATGAACTCAGGAGAGCTTCTAATGGATGGATTGCTAATAAAATGAATACTATTTTATCTTTTAAGTGAGACAAACTGTTAGTTTTATAACTAAATAATTATTCCAATTGCATAAAATACCTTTTAATTATTCAGCATAAAAGAAATGAAACAATAATGTAATTCCAGCTTGTTTAAAGCAATATTTTGTCAATTTCTGACAGCAAAATAACATAACTTCAATTATCTTTCAAAGCAGCAACTTAACTATTCACCATCAAGCACCTCTTCTCAAATCTTTGCAAGCTAACTATGACACATTATAAACATATATGAATATACTACTAAAATTAAATTCTAAAAATTCAGTCATTGCTTACTTTCAACAAGGAGAAGAGTACTTGTGACTAAGGTGGCAATTTCATTTTCAAGTACACATTCATATCGACCATGATCTTCTTTCTTTAAGCCTCGTATAGTTAAATTGCCCCCTCTTATCATAGCTCTCTCTCTTGGTAGTTTTGATCCATCAGCCTATAAAGTTACATGCTCTATAGTTATTGACCAAAAAATAGAACAACATACACATATAAAATCAGTAATGCAACAACCTTAAGTTTGACATAGTTTTAGTTGATTAACCTTGAATTTGGCCAACTCAAGGTTGTTGTATTAATGATTTTATGTTTTACTTGGCATGTTTCTCTTCTGTTAACATACATATAATACCACAATAAAATTCAAAGAACACATTTCCTTTAAAAACAGAAGTAATATTTATTCAGTTATTAAACCCATATAATTAATCACCCAGATAATTACCCAGTTATTTTAAACATTATTTTAAAATTCAAAATTATAATAAGTTGCAGATTAAATAGTATACATTCTCTTATTTAAAATTATGCATTATAATTTGGAAAGTCACATTTCATAGAAAATAAACTTGTGTAAGAATTGAACAAAACTTATTTCACTAATAAATTTATGATTTTATTTGACTTAAAATTATATACTTTGCATCTTTTTGGTAAGGTGGACATTGATAAATCCTATTATTAAAGAAATACACACTCCCTTACGATTTCTTAGTTATAACGCGAAATGCCACAGTTAAAATATGTACTTTTTAATCATGTGGTCAAATTTTTTGACCAGTTATAAAAATATCAACAAAATCTTCTTGAGGATGTTAAATAATTTTCAAGTGGAAAATAAATTTAAATGAAATTAGAAAAATGTACATAAATTAAGGACTACACAATTGCACTTAACTTTAGAAATTGCATTAGATTGTTTCTCCTAAAGGATATTACTGAACTTCTAGCTGGAAAAAGTTACAGCGTGAAATATCATTCGGCCACAGATGAAATCAATTGAATTAAATATTACTTAACTCTATTACCTGAATGTAAATGAATATTTGAGAATTAATCTGAGTTTCTATAATATATATATGTCTGGAATATACATACTTATAAAATGGTGTAGCAAGTATTTCAACAGATTTGTAACAAAAACAATCAATAAATATAGAAAGCATTCATTAAAAAATGAGCTTTCTCATGCAGATTTACTACTGTAGCTCTATTAATAAAACATAATTTTCAATAATATTAATGTATAATACTTCTGTAATTTTTGAAAAACACTATTATTGAAACTTCTTAAAATAAGATTCTTAATGCTTAAAATTATAAGCATGTTCATGATCTTGAAATGGCCAATATACAATAATTAATGAAAATAAAGCCTAATAAATAACATTACAGTATACACTTACAGTGTTCACAAAATGACTTATTTTTTAAGCATCTAGAACATTGACTTGCAAAATTTGACATACGACACACAAATTATAAATTGTCAATATAAATAATGAATCTTTGGAATGGATAAAGGTTAATCATTAATAATAATATTATGAATACAGGTTTCTTCTGCTTAAAGAAAGAAGAATATTCCTGGGAAACCTTTCATATGCCTTCAAAGCCACAAAATGAAAAAGAAAGTTCTTATGAATTTATATCTAAAAAATGTTTTGAATGATTCCCAGTCTTTATCCCCCCCCAAAAAAAACATCTTATCAAACTATCAAATTATAATAAAAATTCTAAAAGCAGAAATGATGTGATAAATACATAGATTATGTAAAATAGAAATAATGTAATATAGTTTACCTACTGAAAGTCAGAATACAGTACAATATATGGAGGGCAGTTACTATAATGTGCCAAACTAAATGGATGGAAATTCAACAGGGAAAAGCATAAAAGGCTAATTTACAGGAGAGAAGGCATGAAAATCATTTCATAACCATTTGCATTAAGTAAAAATATCTATCATTTCTATGTGTGCCTACCTTATCAGAAGTCAGTTTTATTGTATGCTTTTGCTCATGAAAAATTCTTGAAATATGGTAAAATACTTATCTTAGAAACATGCATTTTATTCTACTGCAATAATTCATCAATGATGTAAAACTAACCGAAAGCTGAGTTAACCCAAAATAGTTACATTTAAAATTATGTTTTTTATGCAATAATTACTTTAACAAGCACCTTAATGATATTTTTGCTTTTCATCCTCTTTTTTATTTATTTATTTATTTTTTGTTAAAAGTGAAACTCTTGTTTGTAAACTGAAACAGTCATTAATATAAGTTTATCATAGAAGCAAAGTGATATAAAACTAGCTTTGTTAATAAAGCAGGGTATATGTATACAGAGGTTTCTTTTTTCATGCTACAAAAATGTTTTTTTTTAACTAACCACTGTTTAATACAAAAGCTCTTTAACAAAGCAGAAAAGCAATAATAATAAATATAGTGATTAGATTATAAGCATAATAACTACTTTGAAAGCATATCATTTGTTCAAAATCCTTCATAAAAAAGATATCAAGTGAAAATGATATTTATTATAATTTATTATTATTTTTATAATATTCAAATATTTGAATATATTTATTTATTTTATTTAATATTCAAATATTTTATTTGAATATTTTTATTTTATTATATTATATATTATTTTTCACAATACTCAAATATTTTTTTATAAAAATATAGAAGCTGTGTTTTATAGTATATTGAATAAGGTTTACAATCACAAACATTAACATAAGTATGCATATTCTAGAATTTTTAAATAATAATAGAATTTTAAATGAAATTAGAACATTTCAAGATAAGACTATGCTTTGTAATGAAACTAACTGTAACAGAAATGAATACTAACAAAATGTAGTTCATATTTCATAATATAGTATTATATTGAAACAAAAATAATTCATACATGTTTCTATTTACTCCTCCTAGAAAAGGCCTTTCCTCAATAATGCTTAATAATTCAATTCTTTTGAAAATCTCACTGAGTTTACAGTTAAGGGATTGTATTAGCTAATATGTTAGACAAACATGTAGAAAATATTTTATAGCATTAATTCTTTATCACATACAAAAACTATTATAAAAAAGGAAAACTAATGATACTTTTTACTGCACTCCAAAATTCTATAAAGAAATCTATCTAAAGAAATAATTTCCCCTTAATACTGATTTTTAATTAAAAAATGAATAGTTTAAAGTACTTCTCTAAAAGCTATGTATTTAATTACATTTGGATGGAAAAAATAAAAGCGACTAATAAAGATACGCAGATTGTGGAATGCTAATGTTAGTTACTTGCTCGATGTGAGTAAAAACTTAACAAAGTTTGAATAAGTTGATTGAACCAGTTTCAATTAATAAAATATTACTATAGCCTATTAGTCAAGAAAATATGCAAAAATTTGCTCAATATAAAGCCATTACATTTATAAAAATTTTAAGTCAATTTAATTATTAACAAAATGAAAAGCATACTCCTGCTTCTTTTAAACAATTTATAAGCAATGTTTTTTTTCTTCTTTTTTTTAGACTGTTTTAGATACAAATAACCTCTCAAAAATGAAAAAAATCTATATGTGAAATACTAGATCAAAATATTTAATGTAATATGTTTTCAGCCAGTTTATATTCTTTGAACAGGTTATTTGCAGTAAATCAAATGCAATTTTTTAATAAAATCATACTTTTATGTTAAAGCCAAATTTATATAGATGCAAGACATTTTAAAATGTGAAACTATAAATTGCATTAGCAATTGAAAACGGATCACTGGAAAAAGTCAGTAATGAAATATGTATATGTATAAACAAATGAGACAATATTCACAGAGGATAAAATAAATAAATAAAACATAATCTATATTGTTTTAATAATATTATAAGTAGAAAGAAGCACACAAAAAGTCTAGTTTCCTACTATTGAATTTGGGTTAGGACTCACTCTTCGCCATGTTATTGCTGGCTTAGGCTGGCCAATTCCTTCACATGGTAACTTAATTTCACTGTCAACAGGCTTTTGATACATTTCTTTGGGTTTCATAGTGTACATTGGAGGCTCTGAAAGTATATTTGAGAAATTATTATATAAACATATATTTATTAGAAATACACACTTTGTAACACACTCTCTTTAAATGCAGTTAGGATAAATATTTAATTATACATACAATAGTTCTCAGATATTTCAACAGAAGGTAGCAGTGATCTGAGTAAGAAAATTTCATGAATTCTTAAGATGAAACTAAATATTATATACTAAATCACATAAAAGTCTTTTTTTTAAATCATGATCATCATTAATAATTTCCAACTCTGCAAGGAATTCACTATTAATGTATAGTTTTTTAGGCAGAATATCACTGAAAAAAATATTAATTATTACCTGCTCAATCAGAAAGCTTGAAATTAAAAAGTAATTTAAGCAATTGAAAACAGTGAAACTGAGATGCATTAAGTGGATTAGAGATTTGAAACTGAGATGGACTTAAAAGAAATCCAGAAGCTTTTCATTATATTAATTAATTTATTAAACAATTACTTTGGCATTTCATTTTATTTTTAAAATGTAACATTTGAAATGATAACATGTCAATAAGCTTTCTACAAAATTGTTTAAAAATGGACCTAGATAAGAAAATCTTTATAAGAACAGAGTCTAGCTATTAAAAACTTTCATTTTATTAAATTTGTGAAACCATTAAATTATTTTATATTACACAAAGAGGATATGGTGTTTATTATTGAGAAAAAATAGAATGCTAAAAACAGTGAATCATTGTATTTAAAAGTAAAAACAAGATGCCTAACTTCTTTACCTCAAATATATTACAGTTTTGCAGTTTCACTCTTGCTGATGTAAAATTCCAACAATAAAGTCATATCTATCAATGTCTATAGATATTTATTACAGGAATACAAACTTCTGAAACAATTTCATAGTAAATTGTTGATTTTGATCTCTGTTGTGAAAGCTTTTATTGTTGAAAAAATATAAAAATATATAATATAAACAAATATAAATGTATAAAACAGCTGCTCTTTCTAATATAATGAATAAATTACATTTTTTATTTTTCATAATGTTTTAATTATCAAGCAAAAATTGTTCTTATCAGTTCCTACTGACCAATTTAAAATATTTCTTCAAAACATTTTCAGGGTCATAAAACAGAAAATCTATATCAAGTGGAAACTGAAAATAAATAAACAGCAAGCTGTTTAAGCAAGAAAAGGAATAAATAAATAGATAATTTCAAGGTCTCCAATAGTATAAACTTAAAATCAACATATCTTGAAGCTACATTTATTGGACAAAAATTGATATGGAAGATTAAAGTAATAAAATTATATTACAGAATTCAGTTGATAGTGGTGAAATAAAAGAATGAATACAATAAATGTAGCAAAAAGAATTCAAAATTTTTATGTATCCTCTAGAACAAAGTAAATTATTCTTGTTATGGCCATTCAAAACTTACCTATCATAAAAATGCAGAAATTTGCTGATTTTTGAACTACTCTTTGAACTACTTTCTGAATAGTTACTATTTTAAAAATGCAGTTATTTGATTTCTATAGCTCATGAAAAAACCCAGCTGTTTGAAATTACAATGTAATAGTAAAATCGAAAATATTCTAAAACTGCGTATCAGTATTTCATGAAATATATTCTTCATTTTTGATTTCCATTACAGTAAAATATTCAGTGACAAAAACTAAAATGCAAATACTGCCAAATGTTTGTGATATGCAGCTTGACACCAAGCTTCAAATACGCAGAAAATTCATAATAATAAGATACATGTGCTGCATCTATGTACAGGCAAATTATGCAAAAAAGGTTGTAAATAATACTCAGAAAGAAAGCCTTCAGATCAAAGCTTAAGTATTAGGTTAATCCAGTTTAATATTTTTTCATAAATTATATGCAGAAAGAAAATGAATTAAAAATATTTTCATCATTATATAATTCTTATTTTCCCTGTCTCAACAAACCAGAGTTATCAAATTTAATAATAGTAAATTATGTTGTATTTTAATTCCAGTGCAACCACCATAATCATTGCTTAGAATCCTCCATATATATATATATATATATATATGCATATATATAATTTAATAGAGAATATAAAAATGAAAAATATATCTTATGAAATGGAAAGTGAAAGTTAGATACCAAATGTGTACTATTGTGGAAATTGGAATTTGTAAATAATTAAACTGGAATTGTTAATTAAAATGCAAAATTAAAGAATGAAGTTAGAGCTATTGCTGATTCCATAGAAAGATCCCGACATATCAAGGGGAATTAGAACCTCTCCCATACAACCACCAACAATTCACGAGTAGCATGTTATGCTATTTCGCATTTTAGAATAAAATCCCGACTCAAATTTTAAATTTTAATTCAATTTTGTAAAATCTGGATTTAAATCTTAAAGAAGTTCAGAAGGTTTTATGGAGAGGTTACAGTTCCCCTTGATAAGTCGGGATATTTCTATGGAATCAGCAATAATTATCGGTACTTTTCTGTTTCGCCAGCGCAAATCTTGCCAAGCAGACTTTATTGCCAACAATATACAATATACACATAAAAAATGATAACAAATTTTAGTTCTAAGAATTTTTTATTTTGAAGGCATAAACAATTTAATATTATTTAAAATTTTGTAAAAAGCCAATAAATAAAGACAAAAAATTTGTAAAAAGACATTAATTTAATAATTTACTATGCTTTCACGGTTCAACATCCTGATTCGCCGGTTCGTATCACAAGACCCCAAGTGATCTAACACGTAAACTAGGCTACAAAAGTCTAGTTTTCTCAATAATTATCTACATTAATTTCAAGTTAAATCTTAATTTGGAATACAAGTTTAAATGCAAGAATTATTTCAATTCGTACGATAGCTACTCAGAAATTATGTAACGCAGTGCTTTACTTCGCTAGTGCATTCTCATTAGGATTGATGAGTTTAAGCTTTGACTTTGCCTTTTCTATATTTTTGCCTCCATGTGAGTGTTGTGATTGCGTCCTAATTGACTTAATTACCTCGAATGGCCTTAAGGCATAAAATTGAACTATCTGGTAAAAATTCTATGTAATTGTATGGCAGTATTGAAAGAAACAATCAATCTGATAAGAAATGGCTGTGACTTGTTTTGAAAATGAGATGTAAAAGATTACCAGCGAGGATATTTCGTTTGGCATCAGCTGTACCATTATTGGCGACTTTATCGCTTGCGCCGGCAAAACAGAAAAGTACCTAATTATCTTGTTTATTCTTTAGTTTTGCATTTTAATTAACAATTCCAGTTTAATTGTTTAAAAATTCCAATTATTAACTTCCACAATAATACACATTTGCTACCTAAATTTCACTTCACATTTCGCATGAGATAATTTAAATTTTTACATTGTCTATTAAATTAAATTTTATCTTTGTAGCAATAGCACAGAATTTAAATTTTCAAGTTCTTTTCAAATAAATTTACAAGTTCTCATGTTTTTCTTTATGCATGTATATAAAACATTAAATGCACTTTATTCGTAGCAGGTTTTAGTAACTGAATTTCATCAATTCATTATAAGTAAATAAACAAGAATGATATTTTGACTTACGAAGTACTCCTTTCCTTTCTGAATTTTAAGATCAATACAAGTTTGCTATATATCTCTTAATATAATATGTAAATTATAACACAATGTGTGCTAACTGTCTCAAAATGTAAAACAATTTCTTTATCCAAATATTTCTAGCGCAATTTAAGTCAGTCAGTTGCTGCAAAGAGCAAGGTTTTTTTAGTAAGAAGCAAATACAAAAAATTAAAAAGACCCTAAATATTAAATTAAATCTGCATTTTGCATATATTTTTGTGCAGCTTAATATTTAACACTACACTTAGTTACTTATCTTACACTCATTTGAGGCCATATGAAAGAAAATTCTATAATTTCATACATTAAAACTGCCATTCGGGAACACATTTTTTTTTTTTTTTTTTCATTAATTGTCTCATTTGGAGGCAATAAATCATAGTGTACAATTCTTTTGTATTTCCATCATACACAAAGTATTAATTTTTTGGGATGCAGCTCCTCTCTGGATGTTATTAAAGAAGGTTCTTTTGACTTACTGCATGATCTTTTTCTTGCAACATTATTGCATAGTATTCTTATTGCATCTCCAGTAATGAACCATTTAAAAAAGCAGCAGCTTTTTTCTCTTCAGCAAACAATCATATACTGTACTCATACACTGCAGTAATTTACATACACAGTCTTTTGCAAATGACAATGTACTATAATTTTTGTAATATTTAATCTCTCTGATAGTTCTCTCTGTACAATGTAGATTTTCAATGATATCTTCTTTTTATAGATCTTTATTTACAGAGGACGGTCTTCTAGAGCATACATCATTTTCGAGGCTAAAATTTTCCTGCTTAAACTTCTCAAATGACCTTCAAACTACTGTCTTATTAGAAACAGCCCTTTGTCCATATCTACCACAAATTAGATGAACAGTCTGACTAGCACTTCTTTCCATTTTTAAATAAAAACGCTTATGTAATGAAAATGAAATTTCAGGCTCTCCATACTTAGCACTGCACTGAAACAAAAATTATGCCACAACACATGCTAGAATTACATGACATGAGCAGAAAAAGCTGTACTGAAACACTCACTTCAATCAAAGTCACTCTTTATCAGCAGTAACAAAATAATAAGAAGAATATGTACTTTAATTTGAAAAATTACAGAACTTCCTAGATGATCATGATAATTTTAATTTTATTTACTGCTGCGGAAATTAGAAGATGAGCAGGATTTTCAAATCAAATTCAGTATTTTAAATTTACTAATTTTAGCAAAATAAATATGAAGAAGAGAGAATATGCCTTAAATTTAGAGATTCACAGTGCTAAAAACTGATTTAAAAGCATCTTCTATTGCACTCAAAGTGAGATATAAATTCATATGTCTAACTGCCTAATGTGGTTTTTATTGTTGTTACCTGGAATAAAGAAATTACTAGATTTGATGGTAAACACACTAGAACACTAAAAATTTATAAAACAGTACTACACCTGTTAAAAGTAGTCTCTCTGCTTAGCATAACTGCTATAATTTTGCTATTACACATTTATGTCTTCTCCATCTAATGATTTTACTTTATGTAACAGAAGGATATTTTACATTTTATTTTTTACATTTATTTACATTTTAATTTTAAACATGATTTATTTATATTTATTTTACTTGACACATAAGTTAAGAAATAATGAAGATTCTCACATATTATTGGGGTTTATTGCTGAATATACATTCATGCGATAAGTTGCTTTGTGTTGAATATAAATTTTGAAGTTTGCAATTGAATTTATAGTACTGATATTTTATAATTATTAATTAGAACAATGTCTAATATAAATATATTATAATGAGTACATAATTTTATAATTATTAATTACAACAATCAATAATTTACACTGTTGTCTATAAAAGTCTTCACATGACCTTATTTTTGAAACTATAGACATATACTTCCAGTTACCAAAATGTTTTAAACACTCATGTTTAGGCATTAAAAAAAATTATAAAATTTATGAATTCTATAACGTTTTATAAATTTCTTCAGACCCTATACTGATATTTAGAAATGTATACTCATTATAAAAGTGCAGTACATAAAATATGACTTCCATACGACAAAAATTATTATCACATTTAGTTTCGAAGTTGAATATTATACTTTTCAGGAGAGAAGTTTATGCATTTATACTTAACTAACAATAAAATGTTAGTTTAGCAAAAGATTTTTGATCTAAATAGATCAAGTGATGAGCATTTCTGTGCATATTATCATGAAAAGTACTGATTCAAAAAAGAGACCTTCTTCACAAAAGGTTTCAGTATTATTGTCAACCTGTAACATTATTTGCCTTAATTAAAAATACTTCTAGTTTAATTAAATTTTTGTATGATTTTTACATTAAGGTTCTTAAGTAATGAAACTGCACGAAAATATTAATAATGTTTTTCTAACTTTTCAAAACTTATAAAATATTTTTGAAATTTTTTTTCACATCCCAGTTATAACATAATTATAAGTGAAAAACATTAGACATCAGTAAACAAACAAACAAACAAACAAGCAAAGCAAAACAAAACCAAAAAAAAAAAAAAAAAACCACTGAATGCATTTAAAGGGGAAAAAAGTCAACCTCAAATTATTCTAATTTATTTATTAACTGTCCCCTCAAGGCAAGTGGAAAAGGATGCCAAAATAGTAAATTTTAAAATTAATTATCCAATTCAAATTTTGTCATATGGGAGTCAAACTTTTTTATATTGTGCTTTTTACAATGAGTATAAAATTTTCCTAAATATAGATAGAGGGATTAAGCAACTACATAAGAAGTCAGATTTTGTAATTTGTTCAAAACATTTTTTTTTTTTTTAAATTGGAAATTGCCAAAACATGACTATCTGCATTATTCAAAACACTTTTGTAACCAGAAGTATATGTTTATGACCAATGCTTAGTGGGTAAAGACTTGTGTGAACATGGTATGTAATAATATATACCTTAACATAATTTGAAATTACTCATAGACTTTATATGGATTAATGAATTATACCAATTGTAACCTGTAAATTTATGGACTCTATTGCAAATGTCCATTTTACTGAGTACAGTCAAAAGTCTTTAATCCGGACTCGTCGGGACTTCGGCGATTCCGGATTATCGATTTTTCCGGATTATAGATCATCAGTTTAAATCTGGTAAGATGGCATGCAGAAATTATAAAATTAAAAATTTGAAACCGTAATTTATAAAATAAATGACAATTATGATCTAAAGGGTATCAAAAATTTACCAAAAAAAAAAGCTTAATATTTATTTGTTTACTTTATTAAACATTTCTTTTAACGCGCGATGCGTAAAGCATACCTTACTCATAGCCGAAATTAGAAAATTGCAACCAGAAAAAACTATTGATTTGTATTCGTGATATTTATAATGACGAGGAATTTGATTTAAATCATATCAAAGACGGAGTACATCGAAATGAAATACTACATTTAGTAAGGAATTATAAGCGAATAAAATAAAAACATCTGCCCTGAAGATAACGATAGTGCTGACAGCTCAACTTCCAGTTCATTGCGCGCCGCGACGTGCCCCCCCCGCGCAGAGCAGCGTGAAATTGATAAACAGATTTCGGAAACGGTTAGATAAACAAAGGATATGCCTTTTATCCATTTTTTGTCAGCAATTCGTTTTTTGTTTGATGGACATCGAAACATACTTTCGTTTTGTAGATCCTTTGGAGCTCCAGCATCGGAAATTCTATTTGACATAATCGAAAGTTCAAGCTTACTTTTATAAAATTGCTCTTACAGTCTGCAAAAAATAATAAGCCGGATCCAATTCGAAGATTAAGGAACAACGCAATCTATCAACATTAACTGAAATAGATAATAGATAATTTTAGCTTTTACCGTCCGTTATACATTAAACGCGCACGCGAAAACGTATTCTGCACTTGAGCAGATGCATATGCGCAGTCGTAAATGTCTTGCGCGCACGAGTAAAACGCCTATGCGCATGCGTCAATGCGGCGCGTGCGCAGAAAGATTTTAGCTTTGAGGTCCGGATTATAGATCATTCCGGATTACGGGTGTCCGAATTAACGACTTTTGACTGTATATTATTGTAGTTTCAACACTTAAACAGTTAATAACTAAAGACTGTGAGTAACAAAATGTAGTTTCTTAATGTTAATATCCTTTATAGAATTAAGTTGTTATTTACCTCTCACTAACACTTCCATAACATTAGATGTTCCAGCAGTGCCATGAATATTATAAGGCGTGCATCGATATCTTCCCTGATGCTTGTGAGTAACCCGTTGAAATAGAAGCGAGCCATTATTTAGAGTTACCACCCCTGGGGTGGCATTTGGGTCAAAAGGTCGTCTGTCTTTTGTCCATGTGATGAACTGGAATGGTGGACTGGCCTGCACATAGCATCGGACGACTCCGGACAGTCCAAGTGGAAGATACTGGATGGTTGGCGAATAGGTTACACGAGCAGGATCTAAAAAAATGAAACAAAATGAAATGAAATTATGTACATTTCTGAATTTTTTGAATTTTATTCATTTCTGAATGAAATCATATTTGAAACATGCATCATAAAAATAATAATTGCAAACATGTTGCGCTTAATTGACAGATGAATATTATGTATTATTCTCCTATGGAATTAAATCAAAAGATTTGCTAAAAAAAGTATTTGTTAGCTATTTAGAATTATAAGGTACATCTTCTCTTTTAAATACTATCATTTCTAAAATGCATGTCTTAACTTGAAAACAACCAACTGAGGTAGGGTAGGGAGGAGAAGTGTCTGAGTCAGAGCAAATTAAAATATTAAAACATTTCTAGCAAATATTTTTCTAGCGATAGATTTTGATTAATTAATTAATAATAATAATATATCTAATTTGTAATTTAGAAACACTTATTTTGAAATAATTACTAATAAGGTATAATTGTGATTAAAAGGTTTATAATTTAATGGCATTTATACTACAAAAAAGGTGCACCTTAATGTTAAAGAAGTAATGTGTAATGGTAATTACAATAATGCCATAATTATGCGAACAAGATAAAAAATAATTTTATCTCCCTTGTTATCTTAAAAATACATTTTTGCCATCTAAAAGTCAGAATGGTGGGTCCTCTCTACATGAGTTCTTTGGACCAAAACTCAACTTCAGCAGACTAGCAATATATTTAATGTATTTGAATACTGTCTTGATAAATATTTCCTGAAAACTTGTGCAAAATACTTAAAGCAATGTAATTTTATGCATTATACATTAAATATGATGAACATAAACACAAACAGATAAATCTGGAAATTATTAAACAAGGATTTAATGCAATGATGGTATTAAGTTGGACCACATTAATTCAGAAGAATCATTTAAAAATATTTTTAATTCAGTGAACTGGTTATTAAAATTAAATTGCACTATTTCTTTGGGTGATTTATTGCTATTTATTATGCATAGCATATTATCACTTATTAAATCAATGAACAAATTGTTTTCTCCATTTGAATTCCACCTTCAACTTAATGATACAAATTACATTAAATAAAGCAAAAACAATATTAGCTTAATTCAATATGCTATTAATTTTACAAGTAATTCAATTTGATTTATTATTTATTTTGTAAGTAAATTTAAAATTTCTGCTTCAATACCGGAAAAAATATTCCTATCTAAAATTACTACACAATTAATACATTTAAACACAATCATCAACATCTCTAAAAGATGTAAGATGTTATCATATAACATGCTTGTCTATATCAGGGGAAAAAATGAGGGATGAATTAAAGGAATATGCTAGCAGAAAATAACTCTAATAGTTGCTTTATCATCAAGGAATTTCTATTTTTCAACCCAAAATGAAGATGGTTACATACATTTTCAGAACTATTTGTATATAGAAATGACACATAAAATGCAAGAATTTTTTTTTTTTTTTTTTTAAACGCGTGATGAATCCAGACAGTTTAGAAGAAATGTTTTGGCAAACTAGTTGTTAAAACTGAATATTTTATGTTACTATTTACTAGCTAAGTTTATCATGCATGTTAACATTAAACTGGTTCTTTAAATCTTTAAATACCAATACTGATTACTTAAAATACCATTTTGAAATGATGAAAAAAAATCAGATACAAAATAATTTGTTAAAATGGTAAGTTTGTGTTGCAGTTTTGGAAGATATTTGTGTCAGATCAATTACAGGTACAGCTAACTATTGGAACATGCAAGTCAAGCCATTCCCTAATATTGAAACATAAAGAAGCAAAAGGATTCACAAAATGTCTGTGTTATTTAATTTCATGTCAAAATTTAAGAAAGAAGCTTTTACAGTAATAAAGAATTATGAATTGTAATTAAATGTACAGAAAACTTATTCAAAAGTTAATATGAAGAAATATTTTACTTACTCAAAACACTTCTTTATATTACACTGTTGTAAAAAATTTTCTGTATTCTAAAAATATTCCCATTTTTTTCACTACAATTCATAATTTATTATTATCATCATTATTATTATTATTTTACGCTTTGTGAAAGCTTTTAAATTTGAAATTGCATAAAATATAAACACATATTTTTACTTTAGTAAAATTAAACTAAATTCTTTGGATATTAAAAAAGTAAATATTTTTTTTCATTATTAAAAAAGTATCAACTTACCTAATAATTCTTCCTTACTTTCATGAATTAATTTTAATGAATTCTAAAATGATATTTTGAAGTATTCATTCAATTTTTCACATATGACTAAACGTATTATCAATACTGTGGTATTTTTAATATATCCATATGCTCAGTAGACTTTTAAAATAACACCATGTATATTTTTAACATATTACATAAATGACATATATTGTTTTTATTTTAGTATCCAGTTCAAAAAATGAATCTGGTAAAAAATTTTTTGAATAAAATAATATTTTTATATCAGAAGTTTACGTTTTCAAATACATATAAAATAAACAGAAAAAATATATAAATAAATTAAAAAATATATCTATAAATGTTTTTTTTTTTATACTTGATGCCAAAAATATTAGCTCGTTAAACCATGAGATACAACAGTTAATATGCAACTATTAGTTTTTTTACTACTTCCTAGCATTGCAATTGCGAAAAATTTCGGGTATCATGTTTCAACAAAAATATCCATTTTGACCACTCTCGAAACTACTGAAATATGTTTTTGCCTGATATCTGTAGGTACGGACAGAATAAATGACTCTTTTCCTCAAAACATAGTAAAATGGATTCAAAAGAGATTTTTTTCGTGACGTCTGTATCTGGCATAATTCAAAACGAGTAGTCTCAGAAAGTTGAAATTTTGTATATGGGACTGCTATAACATACAGCTGCGCACCTTCCTTTTTGCCTGCAATTGGTCGCACCAAACATATGTATATATATATATATATATAAATTATTTACTAAAGAATTATTGATTATATTATCTCCTAATATAAATTTAGTAGAATGTATCAAAAAAGGGGAACCTATATGTAGGAAGTTTAATTCCAAAAATTGTGTGTAAATCATGAAAAAACTTTTTAAGGGGACTTGAATTTAAATCATGAATAACGAAATTTCAAACTTTGAAAAAGAAAGTAGAAACAAGTAATCATTGCTATTGATAGGAAAATAGTTGACTTTTCAAGGGGAACAAACCAACTCCCGTTCAACGAACAATAATTAATAAATGCGAAGGTGTTTCATCTTTTACTCAAGTAAGAATGAAGATGCCAAACTGGCAAATAAAGTTAGGCTAAAATTGTAGTTCCATGAAGTGATGAATTATAGGCAAAGTAGAGTATCAAAGAACTCATTCTGAATGAAGCATTTCGCTAATATGAGATTCTTTAGAAATTTTGAGTGAATAGCCAATTTATGTACTGAAAGTTACAAGATACTTGAGTAAATGTTCCCCGACACCTTCGCTTTTATGCATGTTAATTCAAGACTATAAAAATAAATATAAACATAATAAATAGTAATCTTAACTGGAAAAAAGTAAATCAAATAAAAGTTGAAAAATTGAAATATAGTGAAAAGTCTTTAATCCAGATGTCCATAATCCGGAATAATCTATAATCCGGATCTCAAAGCTACAAACTTTCTGCGCATGCATTAAACGCATAATATGTTTACACATGCGCATAATATGTTTACGCATGTACGCTTAATGTATAACAGACGGTTTAAGCTAAGCTAAAATTATCTAATTATCTATTTTAGTTAATGTTGCAGATTGCGTTGTTCTTTAATCTTCTAATTGGATCCGGCTTATTATTTTTTGCAGACTGTTAGAACAATTTTATAAAGGTAAGCTTGAACTTTCGATTATGTTAAAAAGAATTTCCAACTCTGGAGCAGCCAAAGGATCTACAAATCGAAAGCATGTTTCAATATCCATTGAACAAAAAGTGGAATTGCTGCAAAAAATGGATAAAGGCATTGAAGAAAGTGACAGAGAGGTGATTTGTTTCTTTAACCATTCCAAAATCTGTTTATCAATTTCACGCTGCTCTGCCAGGGGGGGGGGTTACACAGCGCACAATGAACTGGAAGTTGATCTGTCAGCACTATCCTTATCTTCAGGGCAGATGTTTTTATTTTATTCGGCTTATAATTCCTCAGTAAACGTAATACTTCATCTCGATGTACTTCATCTTTGATATGATTTAAATCAAATTTCTCGACATTATAAATATCACGAATACACATCAAATAGTTTTCTGGTTGCAATTTTCTAATTTCAACTATGCATAATGTATGCTGTACGCATGCGAGCGTTGAAAGAAATGTTTAATAAAGTAAACAAATAAATATTAAGCTTTTTCTTTTTGTAAATTTTGATACCCTTAGATCATAATTGCTCTTTATTTCATAAATTACGGTTTCATATTTTTAATTTAATAATTTCTGCATACCATCTTACCAGATTTAAACTCATGATCTATAATCCAAAAAAACCGATAATCTGGAATCGCCGAAGTCCCGACGAGTTTGGATTAAAGACTTTTGACTGTATATACAATAAGAAAGTAAAATGTACATGAAAATATAAAAGACCAGAAAATGCATTAATTAACTTACATCCTTTCTAGTGGGATGTCGGTAAAGTGCTTTCTTCTCAGGAGGGGATGTGAGTCTGAAATTCCGTTGCCGGCAGTAGGGACACTTTGAATTATTATGGCGGTGAAACATTTGAGAAGGTATTTATGGGATGTGGGAGGAACTAGGAATGTTGGAAGGAGGTTTTTTGCAGAGTTCTTATGTGAGTGAAAATGTCTGTTAAAATTTTGAATATATTAACTAGTGAATAGAAATTAATTAATTTCTGGCTAATTGTCGGGTCGAAACGAGGTAGAAAAAAGAAAGAAAAAAGTAATATTCACTGTCAACGAGCTATTTGACAGACCAAAGAGTATGAAAATAGGCTCATTTGTTTAGTAACAGCATAAGAAAAGTCTGA